TGCCGGATGCAACTGGAAATCCCAGTTAAAAGATGCAGTTTTGTTTATCGAGAGACATTGGCAGCCATTGCATGTATTTTATTTTCTCATTAAGGAAATGCACGGAGCATATACAGAGATTACATTCAATACAGACTTATCATTACAGAACAATCAGAAAATAAAGATACAATCAATACATATTTCCCGAAAGGAGAACAGATTGAAGGAACTGACTCAAGCAGAGAATGAAATGAAAAATACTTAAACTGCCTTAAGTGATTTTTACACAGATGAGATATTTAAGTCTAAATTAACATTCCCAGCCAAGATCTGTTGCATTGTTGCAATCTTTATATTCAACAGCTTTATCAGACTTGGGCCTAGCAACTAAGCATAGACCAGAACCGCCTTGTCTGAGAGCCCATTCGAACAAAACCCCAGAAGAATAGTCCCGGTCTGAAGCCACAGTCTACATGAGATGATGAAAGGATCCACACAGCGGAAAGAGCACAATAAAACAAGGAGACAGCCTGGTCCATGTGACAGGCAACAGCTACAAGGCAGGCTAGGGTCATACTCTACGTGGAGGTTTCACTGATTTCACCTGAAGAAGCTCTCTAGAGTTTGCAACCTTAATAAAATTTTTGTGAATGTGCAGAATTCTATGACATACTGCCTGGAATTGTTTTTTCAAAGAATTATACTAAAAAAAAGTCACAACACAAAGCTAGTGGAAAAACCACTTTGCCGTGTATTTTGTGAGTTCCATAAACTTGACGATCAAATCTTTTTCCAAATGGGCAACTAAAACTAGAATTTGAAAGACCACCTCTACTTCAATTACACCAGCTGGACTTAAGCCAGTCCTATGCACGTTGTGTGCCAGAGATTAGACCAGATCATCACAGTTGGACATTAAAATCTACAAATACCACTCATCTGCTTGCCTGTCCCTCCGAGTTTTGAATCAAAGGAGGCCCTTTTTGAATCATTGGAGGCCCTGCTCTCCAATGTCATAGACCCAAGACCCTGCTTAGTGCTATCACATCGTGCATTACGTCACTTCTCGTCTTGCCTAGTTTCAACATAACCACTTCAAAGGACCGTCTGCCTACTAGCTAGTGATGCACAATGCCGCCTACGATGTGGCCCATTCCGGATCATTTACTTGGTAAGACTGCAATGAATAGGATTATTAAAAATGTTGATTTAATTCCTTACATCTCTAAAGATCTCCAAGTAATTTCATTCACTTTGCAAAATGAAAAGGATAAATAAACCCCCACAGATCAACTCAATCATGTCATTGAAGGGGGAGATATATACTCTCAAAGAATGAAGGTTAGGACAGTGAAGAATTAACTACATAGCTGAAACCACAAGAAGAATTTGGATAAACAAAAATGTTATTATTCAAGTTATAATTTGCCTACAAGACAAGGATTAACCACTTGTTCTCAAAACCAGCAGTAGAGAGAGAATGAGCTGATCTTTGGAGGGAGCTTACCGGTTCAAAACACCCTCCAAGCTCTTTTTTTTTTTCATTCCTCTTCCAATTTGTGGCAAGATTCTCAAAGGATCAGAAAAGAGAAGACTGGAAGGGGTTTTTTTCCAGGAAATATACATAATATAATATACCTCCGTGCATTGTTCTCTTAATGACCTTCGCTTACCAGTTTGTATTCATACTAAATCATCTTTATTTCAAGTTTTCTGGCTTTGTCCAGTTCACAAATGTTTTCTGAAAGACTAATTTGCTTGCTAGAATTTTCAGTCACTTTGTGCTTGAAAATTTTAGCTTGCTTTTGAATGTCTGCCAACAGTAAACAGCATTTGGAAGATATTGGTCCTTCACCCTACCTACTGCAAGGCTACCTGCAGCTAAGATTTCTCCTCCTCATACATACTATCTAAATTGTAGGAAAATGTTACGTATTCGCACAATCACCCCCTTATGATAAACAAGAAGAGGACAGCGCTTCTTACATATAGGTCACGACAAATTTAGCAGATGGAACAATTTTTATCTGAACATCTGTCAGGTCTGCCTACTGCTTTTTGCCTACCGAGAAATACAGTACATGGAGTAACATGGAGGAATATAATCATGGAGGAAATATAACCATCCCTTTCTAAGAAGGCAAGCTTGTTGCTTCAGGATACTCTTTTCTTCCCCCCTCATGTCAGCGTCACCAGCGGGTGCCACAGCAATGTAAAGATGAGGAGAGAGAAGTAGCTCGCGGAGGTGGCGACTCTTGAAGCCAGGCTTTTTGCATTGCAGTTGTTTGAGTAGCAGCAGTGAACGCTCACTCCAGGCGCTCTGGATCCATCCCTCCTCGCCCGCTCGCAGAAGGACTTGAATGAACAGGACTTCATAACACCACCTAGAACAGAGCCGCACTCAACCCGAATGGGCCCGCACGTTCGGTCACCCGCTCCCGCCTGCATCCCCTCAGCATGAACCTGACCAATGCTGAGCAACGACAAGAGGTTTGGCCGTTCCTTACAAGCAAATGAATACAATTGCATCAGATTACAGCACACTAACAAGCTCCCACTTAAGTTAGTAATTGTAATTTATCTTAGATGCAACTGATGCAGCTTAAATATCTCTGAACGTGCTCAAGTGCCGTGCCTCGTTAGCTGCTTCTCCTTCCTAATTTCCCAGTAAGTCATTTAACTAAAAATGACAGATTTAAGAAAGAAGCAGGCAATACTTAAAATGCTTTTTCACAGCTTTCACGTAGAGTGGATACGGCTCATCACGGCATACCGACAAATCATACTCAGTGGGGTTTTGTATCAGATTGCTGCTAAACCAATAAAGTTAGGGATTGAGTTTTATTAATAGGGTTTATTTTGAGAGGAAACATTTACCTTTCTTTTTCTCCTTAGGTTACTATATATTCTGTTTTTCCAACGCCGGTTATTTACGTCTATCATTAAAAATTTAATGAGTATGAATTGGTTGTGACTACTTACTCGCTTGTCCTCTAATGACCGCGCATGCATCTGAATGCCCTGGACATTGCTGAGTTCCTTGTCTGTTACAGTCTTCATCACTAGAGCCTACGCAGGTGTAACACTGCAGTGCTTCGCCTGGCATTAAGGAAAAAAAGACCGCTTGTAGCAGTAGTGATTAGAGTTTACAAAAAATATTTTAAAAATCAGCTATGCACTCTTTCTAATTTTGTTTGAAGCACATGCAAAAATTGCAAAAAGGTTTAAAAAATATCTAGAGATTCCACAAATCCTATTCATTTTTTGTTTTTAGAAGTGGTCCAGATACTGATTTTAAAGGTATTTAAAAAAGCTATTTATTATTATGTTGTTACAATTTGCCTTTAAAATAATCCAAGAACATCTGATGTTCTCTAATTGCATTCACACCGTCTTGTAACATTTTCAGAGCAGAGTCCACTGTTAACAGGTGGGAGTACCATTCATGGGTTTTTTTCCCCCTCCATCATAATCTTTGTTCCACAGTACCATGAAAAAATACATTGTAAACACATAAAATCTTACTATGATCCATATTCCATCTTCTCCTAAAGCATCAATTCAGCTGGAAGGCACAACAGTATATCTTAAGAGTTTTGCTTTTGTTCAAACATTACAACCATAACTCGATCCTTTTTCTTTTCCTTGGTTCAAACTACATAGTCTTTTCAAAGGCAAGCATGAATTTGAAATATATTTAAAATACCATACTTCAGACTTGCAGGGTAGAAGGCAAACTTGCTGTCCCCAGGGACACATGCATTTAAATTTGTTAGCATACGTATTTCTATTTACATTACGTAGCAGAGGTGAAATTCTGTGCTGCTAACACAAAATAAGCAGACAAACCCAGGAGAGAAGCCCAGAACAGCAAAGAGGCTCAGCCATGGCTGAAGTAGGAAAAGAAAAAGAAAGAAAAAAGGAAAGAAAAGGGAGTCGACTTACTTTTGAGTACAAAAATGGAGCTGACAAGAACCAGGCTGAAGACTGTCCACATCATGGAGATACAAGAGATGTACCATTAGCCCAAGAAAGCAGTTTGTTTGCTATTAGAACCTTAATGCTTATCTTACATACCTAATCCTCTGCAGAGGATAACTTAGAGGATAAAGAGGTGTGCGAGAATGCTACTTATCTAGCTTATTCCGGTTGTACTTCTAATCACACGTACTTCATCTCCACAAACCCTGCAGGCAAATTCTTCCAGTGGCAGGAAGAAGAAAATGTATTCACCTTTGAGTGATAGATATGCTCAAAACCCACCATCCCATCACCGCACATCACGGCCTCCAACTCATGCAAACAGTCTCGTTACATTTGCCTATGGGATTTCCTGGATCAGGGTCAGAGTATTAAACATTTTGGAGGATTAAGTCTATGCTTGGGACATGAACGGTCCCAATCTAGCATATATATATATATTTATAGAGAGAGCAAGATACAGACATAGATGGGTGCACAGAAGTAGCATATTGTGATCCACGGGGTGCTCCAAGCAGCGACCCATGAAGTGCTTTCTGTGGAGTTCGTTCCGTAACAAGAGGTGCTGTATCTGGCGCTGCACATGAAGTAAGCAAGTGAAGTACACAAAAGAGAGACATACTTATCTTCAACTTTCAACGAAAAAATTTATTTACAATAGAGAATTTCATTTAAGTGACATGCATTTTCTCTTTTTTTTTTCATTTTTAATTTTATTTTACAAATCAGCAAATGCAGATAAAGTTTACACTCTTAAGGCAAGAGTCCCCATGCAAGTAATACATGTTTATATTAAATCCAAAAGACATCCAACATGGGAACTCATGTACAAAGGGAAGGCTAGGATCAGCAATTTGTAATTTCTTAGAGAACTTGACAATCTCCCTGATACAGGAACTTTGAGATCAACTTGCTATGAATTATACTATGAAAATGCAAACAATAGCAAGAAATTCTGATAGTCATCTTAGTACTGCATACAATTAAATCAACTTTATTTAGAAAGAAAATACAGTAGTGCATACGAAAAAGTGAAAATATAACCTGTCCACATAAATGTATGGACATCAGTGTGCCAATGGTCATATTGCACTCAATATCGAAGTCCAGAAATTTGGTTAAAAGTTAGCTTTTCCCCATTTTGGCAATCAGTTCATCACAAATCTTTGTTAATTCTTCTATCTCTTTATTCTGGAAAATAAAAGGCAATATTAAGTGTTATGAAAAATATTGTTGCATTAAGATGAGGGGGTTTTTTTAATTATCCAACCTTTGGGAGAAGTGTGGGACAATTAAGTTTTCTCCAATACTGAGTACAGAATATCTACACGTATAGAGAGAAAGAGAGAGATATATATGCATACATAGTACAGCTACGTATAGTACATTCAAACAATACACTTACTTATTTCCACATACAGCTCCTCTGACTTCAATAAATACAATTTAGCACTAAAGCAGACAGCTTTACAGCAGTCATTCCTAGCACACGATAATAATACATAGTGTAAATTTGTTTTTAGGCTGCACTTTTATAGAATTATTTTCACCCTGTTTCCCATGGGCTCCAAGCAAGGACAAGCTGTACTATACTGAAAGCAAGCTCCTTTGCTGAGCTAGAGAATATTAAATATAATCAGGGATTTCCTACAGTCACTTTTGCCTTAAGCCGTACAGATCTGTATCTGATCATTTTGTCTGTGTTAACAGTGGAGGCACATAAGCTAGCATTGGAATCACGGCTGAAACTAAAAATGGAAAACAAAAAACGAAAGAAGAGCTTAAACAGAGAGATCTTAAACCTGAGAACCAAAGCAAACCAAGGGCCCTGCTTGGTACGCAGGTGCCCACTGAGCTTTGACCGAGTCTGAATCAGCCCCGAGTGCTGGCCGGTGGCCGAGATCAAAGCCTGGCAGATGGGTCCGTTTGCCCGAACCGCCCGGTGCACGCAGCTCATTTTGCTACAGGGTTTGGGCAACTCCCCTGGGGCTGGGGAGCTGCCGGGGCAGCTGGATGTGAGGAGCTGGAGAGGTCCTCGGGCAGACCTTGGCTGTGGTCTGAGCTCCAGAGGAGAGCTGCATGCAGCCACTCGGGGGAAGTTTCACTTAACTTTGGTCATCCCGTTGACTTCGGCATTAAAAGAGCTGAATTGCTATTTACCTTTTGTTCCAGTGTTCTTTCCAATGCGTCCACTTTCAGCTGCTCTTTACGAAGGCTGGCCTGATACGCTGCTTGCTCTTGCTGAGCCTTGCCTCTCACTTGTGCAATTTCAGCGTTGGCTCTAAAAAAACCACAGATTTTTGCCACGTCAGGTTCTCTGCAGGCAAGGACAGCAGGTACCGAAGGATGGACTGCATCTTAACAGATGGGCTACTTTTTGCATGTCTTTGAAAGTATTCTGAGACTTGTCCCCAGAGACTTTTCATGACTCCCTTTCTTGCTCGGCAGGGGCCGCAAAGTCTTTTCTTAATGTCTGTGTTGTTCCCTTCATGCTTCTCTCAGATGCTTGTACTGGGGACACAAATATCACTTAGGTAGAAGTGTTTTATGGCAGTTTCTAAACCTGATCTCCAGTTCTTAGAGACTAGACTCAACGCTGGGACAACAGCTGGAAAGCAAATCCAAGTCTTACTTTGGTTTAGGCACTGATCAATCCTAGTGACATTTTGGAAACATCTCTTGGGCCTAGGGGACTGTAATATGAGTCCTGAATGTAAACCCTAAAAATGCTTAATTGGTTGTTACACTGAAGCATAGGAAAAAAATTTTTAAAAAGTCAGCCAGAGCTGCCTCTCTTAAGCCACAATCTCATGTTTGCTCCTCAACAGTGGCTTAAGGAGTTACCACTATCCACGCACATCTGGCACAATCTTTTGTGCAACTATTCCTCGTCACCCTCAGCACAAGTTTGGCTGATCCAGCTTAGAAGCACTTACACGTTCTGTTCTGCCGATTGATGCAGGGGCAATAATGCAGCACAGGGGCAATAGCAAATCTCTGGGGGCAGGACTGGAGGTGCAAATATCTGAGCACAGCCCTCCAGAGCTGCATAAACCTAGCTAATGGCTTCCTTCTTGATCTTCCCTGGAAAATACATTAAAGAAACATGAAGACATTTGATAAAGATAGAAATTTAAGGTGTTCTACACGGTCAGGAGCTGGAAGAAACAACAGCACATTACAGAAATTCTCATTACAGCTTTGCATTCCGCCTCCATCACTGAGCAGCCTGTGCTCTGCATGTTGGAAGGAGCAGGTCTGGGATGCAAGGTCCACCCACAGGAACCCTCCTGCAGCATGGACTCCTGAAGAGATGTGTACCATCAATTACCTGTCCAGTTTTTCCTCAGCGTGAATTTTGAGTGCTTGATACCTCTGCTCTTCCTTCTTTACTCGTGATAAATATTCCTGCGCACATTTCTTCAACACTTCTTCATTCTTAAATGAGAAGATTACATTAAATTTAATCCAAGAGGTTGAAGCATAGGACAGGCATCTATTTGCGGGAGTCACATTCAGATGTTTTAAGGGCTGCGGTCTAACACTGACACCCCCTCACAGAGGCCATCTGAAGCACTATCACACAAGGCAAAAAGCTTTACAATTCTTCCATTTGCATTTGATTCATCTGGGGATTACATTATGTCACACACTTTCGACATAACCTCTGCTGTGAGGAATTCACATCCTGGGCTTTAACAGAATGCTCAGTCCAGAAGCCAGCCCAGACATGTGCTCAAGTCCCGCAGTTATGTGACACCTATTGAAATCGCAGTGTCACAGATGGTAGCAAGTTACTCTTGTGCAAAATCTTCTTTTTAAAGCTATTCCAAAACGAAAGCTCAAATGAGCACTCATGTTGTCCCTCCCCCCAGCCCACTGCAGTCTAACGTAGTACATCAGATTTGACTGGAAGCAAAGACGTGCCTTCTGTTAAGCAGCACTGGTATGCGTGACAGCCTGCTCAGCTTTGCTCTTTAAAGGAGGGGACTTTAACACGACTCACCTTCCGAAACCCCTCCAATACTTCTTTCATTTTTTCGTATCTCCTGAAAAGATCTGCCAGGGATTTCTCCACTGAGTTCAGATCCGCCAAAGCTTGTTCCTTCTCCACTATCAGCTGCTGAACAGTGTGATGGGAGACAGACTTCTCTCTCTGTTCATCCTCTGTTGGAAAGAAGAGAGGGGGAGGGAAAAAAGCGATTTTCAGAAGGGTAACAGTAGTAAGAACATGGATTTCACTATCGTCTATAGTTTCTACTACACTGTGCTCTACGTTGTGTATTAGTAAGTTTGCGGGATCCAGAAAAGTCATTTTTATACAAAAACACAATCCTGTTTTGGAAAAAGGTTGCTAAATACAGTGATATTTAAATATTTTGATGTTGGGGAAAAATGTGACTATATCTCTGTACTGATGATTTATTTCTCCCTGAACTCAGCTGTTCCCATGAAAAAGGCAGGTGTTGGATTTCCCTTGTTTGCCTTAAGATGCACTAGCTGAAGGAAAGGACATTTATGCATATTACTAGCACTGGCAATAAATTATTTGCCATTGCTGATACATGCTTCCCTTGGAAAAACAGCGTTTTGCAAACTCTCATTCTTAGGATTACTGTAGCAAGTGCCAGAAAGGAAATCTAAGATTCGACTTTTCTAAGTTCTGGTCTGCAGGAAACATTCCAAGCTTTTCCTGTCTATAGTTAAATTTGAGACAGGGGTGGTGGGAAGAACACAACAGGAATCCGAATCCATGTGGAAGAGAACTTTTCAAAGGAATTGACCTAGTAATAAATTGGAATACCCACATAACACTGCAAAAAAAGGTCTGGTATTGCATTCCAAAATGCTTCATTGTTTGCTTCATATCCTAAAATACGATTCTTGTGTCCATGTTTTAAGGGCTACTCTGAATGATACTGAAATGAAAACCAACCCGCAAAACATAGCATATTATCATTTTCCTTTATCTATGATGGAAACTAAAATAAGGTAAGAAGTTCTCCCATGTAAAAAGCACAGGGCATTTCAGAATCTACAACTTTTCATTCAGGCCTTCATATTTTGAAATATAAAGAACTAAACAAGAGGGTTTTTGGGTTTGTTTTTTTTTTTTTTTTGAGTAGAAGTCTTCATCTGAATTAAGTATTTCATAGTGCTGGTCAGCTCTGAAACGTCAAAGTTGATACTGTCAATTCCCTAACTGAGATGAATCTCTTCCTTTTGCTTATTCAATCCTTTTATATGCTTTTTTGCTAGCCTAACTAAGCCCAGAGCATCAACGATGCCACGCCGTGCATCAGCTCATGTTGGCAGAAGGTCATGAACCAGAGAAGCTCTCAGGACCCGCACTGAGTTTGCAGCCCTGGAAGTTGTAACACGGGTATTTTACTGGTGAACAAACACCTTCGATATGGCAGAACTGAGAAACCCAGAGCCCTGTAATGCCACATCAGTTTGGTAACATTTAATATTTCATAAAAAATAAACATTCTTTCCTATTTTCCCTTCTTAAAGACGCTCTATGATCATCTGTAATGTCAAAATGAAAATATTCTTAAGTAAAATGAGAAAACCATTTGTCATCCTTCATTTATTTTTCTAAATCTGAGAAATTGTCACCTTGTGTTCCAGCACAAGGTTTGTTTAATCACGCTGGAGATTACACACTGTCTAGCTTAATTCCAAAACACCTCCTGTCAGGATCCTGCTCTTTGGCAACACCTCTGTCGTCGCAACTCCACGCAGGGGAAGGGATCCGTTTGCATGATCACGTAATGTACTTAATAATGTCTTTAATGTCACAACTTTACTTTTCCTGAAACTGCTGTCTGCAGTATCAGCAACTTCCTTCTTACTTGTTTCTAGGGCAATCTAGAAAGTTAGTAATTCATGACTCACTCCCTCACAACTACCGAGCTCTTCTGCTCCTCCCAGCGCATCGCGGTGCCCTCCTCTCTCCTCAGCTGGACCAGCTCCTCAAACGCTCATCCCCGGCCCCACTTCACCTTGCACACGGGAATTAGGGGTAAGTGATACCTGACGCTCCCCTTCTCTCCCTTCCACTGCATGCTAGAGGTGTCCACGGAGCGGGGAGCGAGCTACGGCCTCATTAGGCTCCAAGGGGGAAACAGCAATTTATATTGGGAAAGGGAGTGGCATATAAATTGAAAAGAGGGGAAGTTTCCAGTGAGCTTTAGGAAAGGGGCATCTGATAATCTCAGATAACTGTTAAGATACATTTAAAACCAAAGTGCTTAAGTACTACAGAAAACAGAAACTGGCATCTGGCTGGAGGGGGACTGGAAGATCTATGTGATATTTTCTAAAACTGTGATTTAGCTTTAATGAAAAAGCTGCTTAGTGGAACTGCGCTGATAACAGTCTGCCAGACAAACCTTAGTTAAGCAGTTACAGATACTTATTTCTAAAGATATTTATGAGGTTATGCGATTAAAATATTTTAATTAAATGGCTTCCATGTCTGCAAAACACACTGTCCACGGCTCACCAACAATAACAACAATATGCTCAGGACTAACACTATCCAAATTGACAGAATCAGAGAACCACCACAGCAGATCCGCTTTCAGGCTCAGCTCAGTATTACTTGTATTACTTAATGGGAATGCAGCAAACAGAGAACAAAAGCAAAAGAAACTAAAAATGCAAAATGCTGGTGTGAAAGTTGGTGAAAAGCTTTACTTACCAGGCTTGCCTGTTTTGTTTTTGCAAGCAAATAGCAAGAAGCAACAAAAACGGAAGCAAAATAGAAAATCAGGAATTGTTAGGAAAGCAGAAAATAAGTAATGCAACAACCTGTAACGCACAAAGCATAACATGTTTGTTTTTCATAATGAGAATTTAATTACGTATTTAAACGTACAAGTATAAGGATACATTTTTAACACAAAAACCCTCCAATATTACAAATCCATCAATAAAAAGGAAATCCACGACAGGGATTTTGGAAGGGAACTGGGGATGGCTGCAATCAAGGTGTGTGTAGGGTGGGGTGCAGTGAACATCGGGGTTACGCGGGCTCCATTCCCTACGGCTGTCAGTGCCACGCAGTTGTGAGCTGCAAAACTTGGGCAACAGTCAGCAAAGCAGTAGCACAAGCAGCAGCTAGCCTGGAAAGCCTGTTCTTTATTCTCTCCCCTCCTCAATATAAACAAGAACGTGCTAGGGGCTCAGGCAAGTGTAAGAAAAAAGGAAAAAAAGTTGAAGCACCAGTAAAAAAATATGCCTGACATTGACAGGGATCTATACACTGACAGCTTGCAAGCTCTGGCTGTACAGAGTGTGGCATGAAACTAATTGCATAAGCGAAGTCGGGTAATACTGGGTTCTATATGCATATGACAGCAAATACTAGACATTCCACAGCCCTTGAAATCAAAGGCAATTACTGTTTGCAATGCATGTTTTCAGTGCCTTTATAGGCAACCACACACAATCATATATTGTTAATATGGAATATTTTCAATATTCATTATACATACACGTGACAACCTATCAAAAGCTGAGCAGGACCTATCCACCACACTGAATATTCATTCAGGGGATTTGTGAAATTGGTTCACTTGTCATGGCCTCCTAACAGGGCTGTATAAATAGCTCAGAAGGGTTATATCATAAATAGAAACAGCACGGGTATTTCTTTTGTTAAAACACATATTTTGCTTTAGCAGTAAGGCATTATTGTGATAACAGTTCAGTGAAGTATACACAAATAGCACACAGACAATCATTTGCCTCCACAACGTGGCATTTGAATGAGCAAACTCCTTTATCAGAAGGGACAGTAATTTACGACAAATGACAGGAGAAAGTGGGACAATTAGATAAAAAATTTAAATTAAATGCTGGGAGAGGAAGCCTTGCATTTAATGTATTACCATGCTGTAGAATTTGCATACTGCTCTAATTAACACATACTTTCTGTGTCACTGTTGTTGTTTCGGTTCCTTTGCAAATGGACAGCAAATGACATTATTTATAGCCATAGCTCTTAAAAGCTTGCCATAGAGCGTTTGAAAGACTCTGACTGATACTCTGAATTTGAAGTTTAAAGATCTTTCTATTTCCTCAGTGGTCAATGGCCCGATACTTTAATTATCCTTGATTTCTTTGCAATGAGAGGAAATGGCAATTGTAGAATTTACTGTGTACGCCATGGTTGTGTCTTTGCCTTAGGACCCCTATTCTATACCTTCTTGTTGCACTGCAGTCTCACAATCTGAATTTTTTTTAAAAAATCTGTTTCTCATAAACAGAATTTGAATTTGTTAATAAAAAGAAATTTCTGTTGCTAACTACATGCATATGCTTGGGAAAAAAAGGGCAGGTCCTGTGTTTGTCCATATGGATGGCCAGGTTCGGGGACGAAGCCATACCAGAGTATGTTTAGTGTAAGCCAAAATGAATTAAGTTCTTTGCATACTCTGGTCGCTCCTATTTTAACACTTGCATGATGAGAATGACAGACACTATGTCAGAAGGCAGGCAGATTTGCTCAGTTGTACATACAAAAGGCAACGGAGGCATAACACCATAGAGAATGAAGCCAGACATATTATTATTATATATTATTCATTATTATTATTATTATTACTATTATTAAGTTTGTTTGTTTAATTATTTATAGGCCCATTTTTCCCTTCACTTGAAAGCAGGCTGGGGTGTCTTCCAATGGCTGAGAAATGCAAGAAGGCAGCAAAAGCACCAGACATTGAACTACTTCCCCCCACTCTCTTTGGGTAAAAATAAGGACAAATGTATGTAAACACAACTCAAGCATTAATTAAAACAATTTAAAAGAAACCAAAAATTTGGGGTCACACAATAGTGACTGCAGAGATGGGGACTGCCAATTTTAAAAGGGGCAAAACGATGCGATATGTTGCTGGCTGTAATAAAAATCCTTCCCTGTTAAAAACCTGTCAGAAAGATGCAGGTATCCCCGTTGTGTTCCTGGCACACTGCACTCTCTGTGACAGTGCTCTCAGGGGGAGTACGAGGAATCTTTCTTTCTTTTTATTTTTCAATAAACACAGTGCAAACAGGCTGGAATCATAACACTCCCTGCTTGCAGATATTAGCTAGGCTAAGCCCTTCTGCATCTCACGGCCCAGATTTAACTCCAAGGCCACTCCTAATGGCTTTTAAAAATATTTCACAATTCTCTGCCGCTTTACTCAAGCTTGTCCAGATGAGCTTGGTCCTGCTTTTTCATCAGCCACTGCTTCTTTTCCTGCTCTTCCCAGCAATTTTGTCCATAGAGAACCCAGGACCCCGCTCAGCCGCTCTCCTTTCTGGGAGACAGCTCGAGCTGAAGCAGTACGCGGCAGCACAAGCCACTGGTGCTTTCTATAGCCAGGCTAAGAAAAAGAGCTTTGGAAATCTTATGAGGAGGCTTTAAAATCACATCCCAGGGGCCAGACCTCCCACGCCAAGGAAGCACATGATTCCTGCAACTTTTGGGTTTGAAATGCCACTGCACGTAGTGTTTTCCTTTCATTTTGGGGGCACGCTGTTAACAAAGAAGTTTTCTAATTATTGTGAGGCAAAACATGTCATAATTTAGACCTTAAAGGAGACCCCTATGTCAGTAAATAACTGGGGAGGTGGATTGGCCGTTCATAATCTCTCAGCTGGGATTGGAGTTAATCTAGGTTTTGGTCTGACCAAGGCACTTAGCACAGATAATCCCTGTTGCTGTGAAGAGCTAAGTTTGGTACCTCCCATTAAACAGTTGGGAGCGGATGACTGAAGGGTTTTTAGGTCATTGAAAGGAGATACCCATGAATTCTGGGCAAAGCATGTGAACATGTTTCCCATGGGACAGTTTGCTTTGATGCAGAAGAAAAAGCCCTGACTCTTCTGTATTACCTGGAGTGCCTTGCGGGCTACTTTCTGTAAAATGAAGCCCTAGTTTTTCATCACAACCTGGCAGCACACACTGGTGTCCTCAGATGCATTCACAATTCCCAGCAGCATCAGCAGATGTAGCTAGCATCAAAATGAAGCCCACAGACTTCAACCATGTTTCTAGGCTCTCTTCAGAAAATCAGAGTGGAGGATAGCATCTTTCAGAGTAGAAACACCTACCTATCATCTGAGCAATCGTCTTCTCATATTCTGAAACTATTTTCCTATAAGAGGGAAAAAAAAAGAGAAAAGCTTTTGGCAAACATCATAATGGCTAATGCTTACTTAGAAAATAACGCTACTTAATAACTGAACTATGGTATTTTAAAAGAGACACAGAACCCCTTCACACTTTTATATGCTCCTTATTGCCTGAGTAACAAATAAAACTGACAGTTTAAACACTGCACCTGATTTTTAATTCTCCGTGTAACACAATATAGGGGAGGGAAAAGGGATTGCTCTGAAACAAATTCTGTTACTTGAAACATGCCCAAAGTACGTTACCAATCATGATTCAAATATAAACATAATCACACCGGTCTAATTCAAGAGTTACAAAGAGTCTGATTTTTCCATTACTTTCTCCCCTCTTCTCCGTGTTTGTGGTTGCTTATTTTTAATGTAAACGTTAAGTAAAGTTACAATTGGTAGCAAGTAAACCTAACAGGAGTATAGTTGGCCCTCATCCAAAATATATCTAATCTTCCACTCTCCAAATGTGACTAAATGATCCATTAGCACTTAAGAGAACAAGACCAAAATATTCAATTACGCAGCACAAAATCCATCGTGTCCTATTTCCCAAATCTGTTTTTGAAACGGAGGTGGCAAAATGTTACTTTTAAGACTATTTTATTTCATATACTCACGGTAGGCTTTGAATTTCCTTCTTGAAAAGAGGTTAGCCAAAATAAGCAGATTAAATGCGATTTAGAAAGATGATCCATCCCTTCCCAGAGCCAAATAAAGCTAATGAAATGAGACTAGCTTGATCTGTGCTTTGATTCATGAGCCACATAGGACTGTCTATGAAAAACAGAATTACCCCACTCTTCATCTGAAGTGGATATTCAAAATAGCTCACTGGTATTTGAATACGTCTCTCGAAGTCTTAGCTCGCTTTCACTTGCTCTATTTTAGAGAAGTCTGCTGCAGTTAGCGAGGTTACAGAAAGGATGTGGGAAAATCCTGAGACAAAAGTCAGTAAGGAAAGAAGAAACTTGCGGAGCTCCCAAAAAACTAACGCGGTAACTCCAGTACGGCCTGCCTCAAATCTGAATGACAAAAGAGCCCAGAAGCCCCTGAGAAGGCCACCTGCCCCGAAGGTCAGCAGCGTCTCGCTTGCCCTGCTCTGCAGAGAACTCAGCAGAGCAGGGGGTCTACAGCTGCGCACCCCGCTGACCTCGCCCAGGCTTCAGGTAGAAAGAATTTTGGGTATTGGGGCCAGAGCCCGTCTCTGCACAGCTTGCCGTGCCTCCAGCCGCTGCCTCCACTGGGATCTGCTCGGGCGCTGCCTTCCCTGCTGTCAGTCCTGCTGTTTTAATTGGCTCTTTTCTTTTTCTTTTTTCACCCATAAAAGACACTTTTGAGAGCAAAGATAGCCGCAAGGATTTTCCCCTAAAAGCAAGGGATTGGTTTCATGTCCAAAGAAGATTACCCCAAAAGCCTGCTGTAAGCAGTAAGGATTTTAAAGCCGTGTCATATCCTTGTAACACCAGGCACCTTTAGGAAGTTTTATCATCCTAGAAAATGAAGCCAAGGACTTGGGGCAATGAACACGACATTAAACACTGTTATGACACTGCAGCACTTCCCAGGCTAGGCTGCACCATGGAAGTTGGCAGCAAAGTGAAATAACATTATCTATTCCTTATTTTTACAGCTTAGACTAGTTCAAGTAGGTACCACATTCTCTGCATTATCCAGCCTTACGAATCGTGTGGCAGCTGTTCAACAGAAGTGGATGCTGCAATGGCACATTGATTTTAATAATATTTGATTTGGAAAGCAAAGCAAAGTCTTGCTCCAGATTTATGTCAAAGGCCTCTTTCAGTCAAGCAGCCTAAATAATGGTCGTTATGGCTGGGGAAGCAAAGGATGCTGGCCACATCATTCCTCTCTGTGATGGCACATCTTAACCCTACCTTGACATGCTGCATAGGATTAATGTTTGGTATTTTAGACATTCGGTCTATTTATTGACTTCCTGCAATTTCGTGAGTCATAAAACCACCAAAATCCAGGGCTACAAAGGATCTCAGAGGTCACCTGCTTGACTTCCCTTACTGAGGCATAATCGATCAGACCTCCAGATAACCATATTGAAATATTTCTTGCCTGCCTCTGGTTGTACCCCTGGATTATTGTACAGCCCACTCTGGTTTAGCTCTTCAACAGTTATTACGTTCTTACAACTTCTCATCTTGGCTACTGTTCTCTGGGGTGGAATTCCCTCCAGTCTGACATTTTTCTGGAAACTTAGCTGACCTCAGGATATTCCAGGTAGAGTATGCAGGACTTGGGTAAAGGAGCATTGCTTCTCCTTCTGTGGAAAGTGAGGCTTTTGTGCCTGCAACTCTAGATAATCCCTTCACTCCTTGCTTATCATTCTGTCGTATCTGATTGCTGCATCTCTAATTTACCACACATGGACTGTTTCAACATTTGGTCTTCCAAAGGAAATCCTTCTTTGTGCACACACGCGTACTTTATCATTTTGTGACAATGTTAGATTTTATTTTTTATTTGTGTTCTAGGGATGTGCCTGTGGGAAATTTGGCTTAGACAGTGTTTTTTTTCAAATCAAATTTTATTGAGGGTGTAGACACACAAGCAAATTACTGTGAGGAAGACGAAGGTTCAGATCTACAGTGTGCCAGCTGCTCTGTGTCACCTCCTGCTCTCCTTTCATTAAGGAATAAGCAACCTCTGCCGGTGCCCATTTGCAGCCGGCGGGCGTGTGCACGCAGGCAGTTTCTAGGGAACAGACCAAGTACCGCACTTGAGCATGTGCTGAACGCTGAGACATTCCTTACACAATTCCTAATTTTGTTCATTCCTTGCTTTGCTTCCTTGGTTTGACTGCTTGCAGCAGCTCCTTTCTGTTCTGCCTCATTACGCATTTGAGGGCTATGCCAGGGTTTTGTTTCCTTTCCGCAGCAGAGTGCAAGAGAGGTGAGAGAACTCAGCTGGGCACTGGGAGATGGTTTTCTGAAAGAAATAAAGCGGCTGCCCCTGCCTTTTGCATATGCTTCTCTTAAGATGCTTTGGCTCAAAGCCCTGTGCTGCTGCTATTCAAATCTGCCATGTGCGACTCCTGGCATCCATGCTAGCGTTTGCAGAGTTCTTCACCGCAGTTCCCTTTTACCCTTACTCCCTAAGTACAGTTTTCCTGGATATATGCAGGTCATCACTTGATACAGCTCACTGACTTTAGCTTTAAACCATGGAGACATTTAATTCTGGGAAGAAACTGTTGCTAGAACAGAAGTGATTTTGAAGAAAATTCAGTTTCAGAAGCGACTGCAGAAATTATTACTTAAAAGAAGGAAGCTAAAATAATCTGACAGTTGCCTTTTACTTATGAGTTAAGGGGGGATGTCTTTTCTGTCTGTTTGAAGGTAGAAAATAATAGGCTTTAAAGACACCATGAAATATTTTTATGCATTCTCTTTTGCAATTGATGATTTTGAGATTCAGCTCCAGATTGATGAGCAGTCAAGCTCATTGGTATGCCGTTCTTACAGTATTAACACTGTAAAAAAAGAAAGGCTGAAACTTTTAACTGACTAAATGGGAAGCAATAGTGATTCTTTGAGCAACACTGCTCACCTCATCCACTACAGTGATGTTGTTGTCACCCTTGCAAGTGGTAGGACCTGAGCTGGGCAGGAAGGTCAAACCAGTTATGTTCCAGTATACAGATATTTAATGTAACAGAGGCAGGTTTGCAAGGAGAAATAGAATAGAACAGATACAACTAGAATAAACTGAAAAGCTCAGGGCCCTTCTGTTAGCTTTCGAACGGAGCAGCAGAATTAACTGTTGCTTAACTAAAATCAAGCTTAGTGTGTGCAGTAATTAAAAAATCAGCTCAGTTCAATGAAAAGGGTGTAGAATCAGAACACTCAAGAGGCCAGAGTGCTTCCTTTGCAAGAACGGTTTTCCTACTGGCAACTGGGTCTTTTTTTTTTCCTATTGTTAAAGAAACTTTTTACAAGAATGTCTTGGATGGAGCCTGTACTACTCATACCTATCTGCAAACCTTCACATTCTTTCTTCTGTTGGCAAAACTATTTGTGGAGAGTGAGTTTTAAATTAGCACGTGCATACCTCTGCCAGCTCTGCAGGCAGACTTGTTCAAGCAGGCAACAGAAACATCACTATGCGATCCACGTGAGAATTCACAGCACGATCTGGAGGAAATCCTTCCCTTACATTAACCTAGATTAAGACCTCTCTTACCTCAGTATTTTGAGGATGGAAATGAGATTAGCAACATAGACGTTTTCAATGATTACCCTGAACAGGGGTGCCCACCATGCAGAGCAAAGACAAAGTATCAGTTTACGATCAACACAAAGCCTGCCGTTAAAAATAATGAAAGAAATTCAGCTAACCAAACCAGCTGACAATCATGGTACTCTGCGTACTATCCACAGGCTGAGACAAGATTAGTGACAAGTTAATAACCCACCTCATTTCCATCACTTCCCTTCTGCTTTCTTCATATTTCTCCTTCCACTCAGAAACCTCTCTTTCCTTGGCCACAATCTGAAACAAAGAAAGCAAAGGGGAAAAAAAAAAAACCAACAGTAAAACCAAGTGATCCATTAAAAATGAAATTAAATAACTGTCCAATATTTGAGTTAATATCAAATCCTAATTAACAGAGGCATAGATTTCAAGTGCATAATGGGTTCAAATACAAGCATCACCAGTGATTTTTTTCTTTTTCAGACTGCAAGGTGCAATTAAAAAAGTTCAGATGTGAAATCATACTCAAGTTTTGAAAAACTATCTTAGGAAAGTAGATGCAATATTCTTGTTTCATGTTTCATTCCTGATTATAACAAGGACACTTTTCAAGAAATACTACATTACACTACACCATGTCTGATTTGACTTGGTGCCAAACCTGAAATACTTCTGTACATGGGTTTGGAACATGGTCCCCTGGTTTGTCATCTAAGGGGGTTCTACTGCTCCTGCATGCATATTTAGGACTGACTGTCCGTGAAATTTTATACCCAGAGGACTGCGTTCCTTTGTGCTCCTTTCATTCACATGATCTATCATAAAGTTTGGAATACTCTAACACTAGAGTGTACCCATTTTTTAATTGTTGTTATTAGCCAGACTAATCTTATATGTAGCTTTGTAAAATACGTCATTTTATTCCTATTTCTAGCATCTTACAGTTCTTATGTAATTATATAGCAATGTCAAGATGCACAGAGTACACTTGAGGTTAAAAACAATAAAGATTTATTTTCATATAATGGCTGCTTTTCATTTATGTCAAAAAAGTAAAACTTAGAGTGTAGCGCCTTTTGCTTCGGTAGCTTTGAGCGTGGCTTTAGCATGGCTGAGGATGGTTTCAAGAATAGAACAAGTGTTCGTAATATGAATCATTTGGGAGAAAACAGGAAACAAGGAAACCACAAGGAGCACACATTTCCTTTTCCAAATTCTGAAGAAAATTACCTCTGCTCTGGCGAGTCGTAGTGCAGAGTCTAAGTCTTGCTGGGGGTAGAGAAGACCTGTGGTGCTTTCTGCATCCGAGGTGCCGATCCGGGAGTACAGTGCACTTTTAGAGATGGAAACATCTGCTGGGATAGCAGGTTCTCTCTGTGTGTTTGTTTTTTTAAATACAAAGAAATGAACCATTAAATATGTGTTTAGCTCATATGTTTTCTGGGTGTAGTGCTAGGCACCAGGGTCCTGAGCCAGGACTATAATCCTGTGCACTACTAAATTATAACAGCGGCAACACTGACAAGGAACTTTGAATTTAGCGAGCATAAAATACATATTTAGGATCCACGGTAAGCACCAAGAGAGCCATATTACCCTTACAGAGAGAAAATAAAGACAGCACTTTGCCACCAATATTTTAAGGTCCTGTATTAGAAAATTTACTACTTTCTGATGCAGAAGTTTCATCAAAACATCCACAAGAAATGCATGTCAGCAGAGGAAATTAGAATTGGAGGCAGAGAGCTTGTTAAGGGGAATTCTGCTTCCATAAAAATAGATCAAGAAACCACAAGAGGATAGCTCACTTTCTTAGGTCTGACCTGCCAATACACTGTATCTATCATAAATGCTATTACATAAAAAGTGTGAATATAGAAGTGATGTTGCTGCCTCGCTGGTATTTAGCATGCGATTAGTAAGTTAAATGAGGTTTTATTTGCAGCTGCCAATTTTGCTCACGTTAGCGGCCCAGATTAACGCAAGAAGAGAGCAGCATGCGAAATGAGGAAGAGGGGAAAAAAGAGATACGGGACGCTGAGATGCACGAGATGTCTTGCAAACAACTCTAGACACAACCAACCCGAGTTACAGCACATTAAAACCAAGGAGATTGTAAAAGACAGTTAGGAAGATGCTAAACAAAAAAAAACCCCATGTTTTTAGACACCATCTGTGGCAACCCCCCGAGAGCAGACCCCTCTGCAGCAGATGCACCACCACAGCGTACGTCCCCGTGTCCCCTACCTACGCTTTGCGTCTCGCCATCAACCAGCTAACACACACGTGCCAGCTGCCTGGCTGGGCACCGCATCTGGTGGCCCGGGGAAACAAAATGTTCTTTCTCGCAGCTGCTGGTGGGCCACAAAATAATTCTGGGGGTGGAAGTGACCATATCGCCTATTGCTGGGGTTTAATGTTCCACCCCTCTGTTAAATATGTGTGAAACTGGCCAAAGGAATCAGGATTACTGGGGACGGGGAGGAGAGGGGCAGATGGTATAGACACCACGGCCATCACTGAAACACTGCTTCCTTACAACACTGGACTGAAACAGGCTGGAGTATCAAAATATGACAAAAAATTAAAATAAACTTTTTTTTATAAGGGGAAACCCTCATAGAAACCAAACAGGGTAGCAAGTTAACGGTAAGAGGCATCTCCATGAGCTCTGTTATGTTTCCAGACTCCAGAGCAAACAAAGGGGATCCCCTCTGCCCGCGCAATGCTGGGACCCCCACGACTGCACCGCGCAGGCGCAGGCTACGTCGTCCTCGGGATAATTCTGCGAGCCAGAGCCCCTCCACTTCATGGGCTGAGGACCCGCTCTGGTCCCCGCATTGCCCAGAGCAGTTCCAGGGCAGCTGCACCTCGGGGAGCACCATGGGGGATGAAGGGCTTAGCCCTGGCCAGGGATGTGCTCTCGCACTTATTATTTTCCTTTCTCTTTTTATATGAAATCCTTCCGCCAAAAGAAGTTTAAGGAGAAAGATCTTGTACCCGAGTATGGCTGAAATTCCTTGGATTTCTGTGACCTAGGAAGATGCTTCACGTGGTACGCAACATTCAAACAGACTGGTGTCAGCGGGGAGGACACAAGTGCCCAGAAATCCCTCTCGCGTTGTGTATGTATACATACATCGCTTGCTAAGCCAGTGTCAAAACTGCATTTTAAAAATATGGAATGATTTTTAATTTTTTTTTTTTTATTTAACCTGCAGATTCAGTAGCAGAATTTTTCAGTGGGCTCTCATGACAATTAAAATTGTCTCTATGACGATGCTACATGTAGTCACAGAGAGGGCTGGACCATGGCCCACGGTTTGTGCGGGTTGGGAGGGAAGTCAGGTAGATCAATGCCTTTTTCCATCCACTGATGGAAACGGATATCAACATACAGCTTTTCTTGTACAGCGCTTCCTTGCTGCTGAAAAGGGGATAATGTATTTTTCCAGTTTACTTGTTACCTTTGTGCATAAAGCAATATATTCTGTTCCTTCAAGTTCACTAATGCAGCAGCTTAGTCTTTAGCCTTTATCTGCAATAATTAAGAGTAGTAATCAAGATTTTTTTAATGAGGTTTTTTTATACAAAAGAGAGAAAAAGATTTTATTTTATTGTAAAAGAGGGTTTTTTTTAACTTGCTTTTGTTGGGTTTTTTTTAATAAAATAGCAAAGTCACATTCTACTGCGTGAAGCACAGGAATGTGAAAGTGAGTAGATAATGTCTGAATCAAGGTTCGGTTCTCCTCTCCACAGCACGCACACAAACAGACCTCATTAATTTCAACACCACATGCTCTTGTTTCAACACAGTTAAAGGAAATTTTGTCAGATGCTATTCCATAAATCATTCACTTGCTCACAGTTCTTCTCACATAGCCTAGAATAATAGAAAGGAGCTAAACCCGCTGTTAATTTTGTTGCAATCCCTTCTGAGTTCTCACATCGCTCCTTATTGAAGAACCTACATTAAAAATTACATACAATGCTCACTCGAGATAAACACAGGACTAGATGTTCTGGATATCTCATCTGTAGACAACATGAAGAAACCACACCAGCAACATTAAAAGACTAGGCAAGAAAATTTCATTAGAGCAAGGATAAGCTAAACAGTACTTACAAAACACCACACTGCATCTTTATTTATATAAGAGACTCTCACTAATTTGCTCTGTATTTTTTGTTAATTTTTAAACACGGGAGTCAACTGACTATTACTTCTAGCATTTATGGAGCAGGCCATCTCTTTTTTGCTACATTTAACTATGAACACACAAAATAATGACCAATTCCAACATAATTAGGAGGTGCAACCTCAAATCCAGTGTATTCTCCTACATGAGCAAAAAGCATCACAAGATCTATCAAAATTACATAGCCTGTATTCTTGAAAGTATCTCCCAATGTACAACAACTATGCAGGAAAAAACACATCTGGGACACAAGCTCAGACATCTATGTAAATGCATAAATACAAGACCACATGGTGCTGTCCACAGATCTCAGTAAAGGTAAACCAGCCAATAAATAAGATTACTGCTGGCTCAGCTCAGTATCCTAACTTCAAAAAAATGTACTTTAGTTCCTCCTCAAACACCAGGCAAGAAAAACCGAGAGATAAAAAAGAGCCATTAGATCATCAAAGCTGCCCTCAAGAGAAAGGCCATCCTGAAGATCAATCTGTTGAGCTCTATGTATCATATTTCAAAAGCCTCCTGCAGCTTAATTTGCTGGATCTCATAAAGAGATTGCTGGAAAATATTAATTGTGGCAAAAGAAACACAAATTTCCTCAAGCTCATATAAAAACGTGTCAAAGTAACTGCCAGGATGATGAAAAATTTTAAAGAAAAATGAACATTTAAAGCATTTAGTACATACTTATGCATATTTTTTTATATGGTGCTCAACACCTCACTAATATAGCTATGTTTTCTCTAGTTTTCTCTTGCATTTGAGTAAGTTGTACAAAAGAATAGTAATAATGACATGCAAACCAACTTAAAATTTCCCCAAACTGCTGTAAAAACTCTTGAAATTTAACCATTGAGCAGAAATGCTTGCGGTAGTGGTCCGACCGGCATTGTCCTAACTCTGGAAACACCTCACAGGAGTCACAACCGGGCTGCTGGGTTCTCTCTTTGGCAGGAGCAATCAGTAAAAGTCCTCGTTGTTTTATTTCAAAAAGCCAATTTTACACAGCTTCAAACTGATGTACAATTCAGTAACTGTTTTTTGCTGCCTCCAAATATTCCTATCCTGAGAAAATAATATAACAACAGGATGATGGTATTACCCAAAATAACTCTGTCAATGCTTTAAGTTCAACACCTAACTGTGGAGAAGGTAAACAGTTAATTGGGGTAATAATAAGCGTAGGGATTTATAAGTCACTGAACCTTGCACAGAAAGATTAGAGTCTGCAGGGGAATTACTGCTAAATGTAGGTCACTGCAATCTTAGTGTAAATATTTGAGAGCCCAACGCACTACTTCTCTTCCCAGCATCTTTCACAGAAACCAGATATCTGACCAGAAAGGGAATAAATGCACATTGATTAAACATCTGCAGTTATCTCACTTCAAGAAGGTCAAAGTGAAAGAAAATAGAGAAAGGCACTGCAAAGAAAATGGAGACTAGTTTTCATCATACTGTTTAGAGGAATATGTATTTAGCCCTGCTGAAAATTAGCTTGCCCTTTACAAGCATTCAAATACTGCTTGGGTGCGTATCAAATGATCTGGTCTTTTAACTAATTGATGTGTGTGCAGACAGGTCAATGGAGGCAAGACAAGACCTATTTGTGCTTGCAAATGTATTGAAAAGCAAGTCAAATCCAAGCATAAGTTCTCTGCTTGTAAAGTTTTACTAGAAAAAATGGTATCCCGATTTGAAGGAAGTACTCCTCCTTGACTACCGTGAGAGCCCCCCAAAGCCATGATGCGCTAATCCCATTTGTGCCGATGCCTCTCCTTTCAGTTTCTCTCCTTTCCTTGGATCCAATTTCAACACCCAACTCTACATCGCCTCAGCATCTGTAGGGTGGTGGACACAAACCCCATTGGCTTTCTGTTCAAGTTGTGCCTATAAAAAAATGGCCATGCGACACCCTAATGGAGACTGTTTAATAGAGAAGTGTTAATTCATCTCAATGCTGGAAGATAGAAATCTTTGGCAATGTAAAAATAGACGACTGGTCCTGTTGTTGTTGAAGTTTGTGACAAGAAGTTTGGGAGCGGCCAAATAACCTCCCCCTGTCTGAGAACAACAAACTGCACATCCTTATTCTCAGTCCTAGTACTAGCAGAAAATGCTTGTATTTAATCTTTATTTTAGGTGACCTAACTTGCCATAACAAGTGCTTGCGTCTTTATTTAGCATCCTGTTCTTGTTACCCCATCCTGTAATGGTTTAGCAAATGTTAAATGTAATTATACAACATTAAGAAAAGAACAGACGCCAGCCAACCAGAAGGGAATTCTGCCAGTTAGCATCCGAATTTAAGTCACTGCAGTCGTCTGGTGGATCCTATTATACTTAATCCAGGCCATCAGTCACTGTAGGTCACAAGGGTTGTCATCATAGGCTAATTTAACATTAGCAGCCTCCCACTGAAATAGTAAAGTTATGCAAGGACGAAAGTCCTTCCCAGCCTAACATGACACCCACAGCATTCAGCTAAAAGCATTCCCATGACTGGACCAACATGGGGTTTTGTGAATGTCAAAATGCTACTGATTCTCAGTCAGAGGGTGGAGTTTTGCTTCTTTTTCTCTCCTGACCTCTGCTTACCATTTTTGCTATCTTTGTTATACAGATTAATGGCATTTTCTAAAAATTCACATGAAATTCATTCCCCGTTTCTAAGTTCTATAGAGTTCATAAACTTGTTCTATATAAAAGAAAATGCCGTAATGATGTTAAAAAGCATTTTTAAAATATAACTCCACATAATCAAATACATACTGTAAGGTTTTTGCAGCTCAGAATCTTCCCTGGGTAACACACAAGAATTCACAAACATACGAACCTATTATCTTCAGTCTGAAATAGTACAGTTTGTGAGTTTCTGAACTGCTGGCCGGTAGCAAAAATGCAGATGTCTAACAGAAGTTTTTTGTACAGGCCGTAAAGAGCCTCTAGGTATTATTATGTGTTTCATCTCGAGTGTTTCCTGGTGGTGGAGAGCCTGACTGCTGCATGTTACAGCAAAGCGCTGGGAGGACAGGGAGGTAGGGAGAGAATAAGAGAGAGAATAAGGAGGCAAAGAGGATCTAGAGAGGATCCCACCTCACCCTCTTCTGACACCTGCCACTCAGGGCAACAGAGCAAGGGGACACAGGAAAATGGTATTTATTTTTTCACTTCTTCAATTAGAAGGTTAATCTTAGTTTCTAATCAAGACAAAGGCACGTTTTTCTTCATTAAAAGATTATAGCCACATACTTTAAAACACCCATAAATCTGCACAGAAGGAGTTTACTTGGTAAGTATATGTGTAATACATGTGCACATATATGGTAAATATAGGTAAATATGTGTGCACCATGGAAACAGCTGGCTCGTGGGCTATTTAAGGTAAGCAAAATAAATAAAATATGACCATTACCTTTTCATAAAAGTACAGTTAATCTAAAAAATCTTTACTTTTATGAACTAGCTACTTTATGACTGACCTTTAGAGCACCAAGAAATTCTACCCTATAACCAGCTCAAATGTTGTTCAGATGCAATGAATTCAAGATGATACAGAACCAGGCAAAAGACTTCCCACTGACTTACTCATGGACAGTATAAGAAGAGAAAGATCACTGGAGAAGAACGTCAGAAGCATATTCTCCTGATTTGGAATAAAATGTCTCACTGCAGCAAGACACTGACATCCCATCAGCATCCCATTCAGCTGATACCACCTCCCAGGAAAGCCACTAACATTTCTGGCTTGACTTTTTTGTTAAAAGCACCATGAAGGGCATCATAAACTGGCTGCACAACTGGCTAACCACCAAACCCAGTGCATCAGAGTGAGCTTTTCTGTCCCGTTCCAAACACAGCGAGGGCCACGTGCACCCCTAGAGTAGTGCAAAGCATCACTCTGAAGAGGCACTAGCCAGCACAACACAGAAGTAGCAATAAAAAAAAGCTTTAGATCTTCATGAATAAAGACACGTTGTGTTGAGGGGCCTTTTTTCCTTGGGAGCTCTACAGCCCTTCCAAGCCTGCTGTAGTCCCTTTCTTCAGAAGCCTGAAGGCAGGGTTGATTGAACTTCTCACTTCTGAACTTTGAGGGTCAAGGTGTCTGATTTCAAGCTGAAAATACCAACAAAAGCCAAGGTGCCCCTACAATCAAAATCTATAGCATCTTTATAAGTAGTAGGTTTGGTATTGTTTTGCCATCAAACATTTTAGGACAAATCTTGCTGTAGACAGAAGACAAATGGCCGCCTGATTGCAGAATCTGTCTCCTGCGAAAGGTATGGGCCTGCTTCTTGCCTTCAAATTTGCCTTTTGTTAATTTGAATGTAGCGGTACTCTGTAAGTGGAGCAGGCGGCAGCATTTCCGTGTGCATTACTGCTTTCAGCATGCTCTTCCGTGTCACACTGAGGTGCGCACAGCTTAGCACTGCACTCTGAGAGCCTTAGTTACCTTGTTAAAGAAAAAGCAGCACTCGGTTTCTTAGTCTGTGCACACTCACACACACATGGCAGGCACAAAACAGATACCTCGGAGCAGAAAGAAGAGAGGGTAATCTGCCTGGCTAACTTCAGTGCTTCTATCCTCATTGCAGCAAACTCTAACTCCTCCTGTCAAGTGTTTGGTTGTGAGCAATCCACAGAAAAAAATGTATTAAGAACATAGCAAAAATGTTTAACACATTCAAAAATGGTACGTTATATTTTAATGTATAATTCTGACAATGCCTGGGTGACAAACACATCGCATATTCCTTTCATGACTAGAACATTGGTACAAAACTCCAGTTTTTGGTTAGTTTTGAGGTAGCTGTATAGACAAACAATTGTTATTAGGGGGTAAGTATGAACAAAACTTTGGGTAAAATAAATGTTTTCCGAAGCTAAAGCTGTTTTTCACAGACTCCTCCTCCTTTTGTTTTCATTTTATGTGAATATATGTCAGCTGCCTCTCTCAATTCAACTTTTGCTGTTTTAAAGTTTCACTCTAAGTATTCTAGAAAATATGTCCTGACATACAGAACTGCTCTACAGGTAAATTTGCTTTTCCTAAAAGAAGCCATGCCAAATTCTGCATTAGATAGATTATAACAAAAACAAAGCCTTTTTTTCATTTCAGCAGAATTAGGGCCTAAATCTCTGAAAATGAATCTATGCATACAGACCTACTAAGACCAGGTATCAAGACAACTCTCCACACATCAAGTCCTGTGGTCAAGCTTAAAAGACTTGCTTTATAAAGACTTCTGCAAAATATATACATCAGTGGTATAGGATAGCTGAAAGTGGTGATGAAATTTAAGTTTAACGTCATGTATTAGATGAATTAAATTAAAATATCTCTGTTCCTTAAGTTCCTGAAAGGCCAAAGTTACTTTGGAAAGAATCAAATCATTATTTTGCTTCTTTCCCACCTCCCCTCCAAGCGTCTCCCCACCCCTTTCAGATGAGGCAAAGCATTCCTCTACCTGTGTATAGACAAACTCAAAGAAAAGTGACATTTATATTTCTGCTACAAACCTGAAGTTTCTGAGCAAATACTGGGGGGTTCTTTTCTGCTAAGTCAGGATCTAGATATTCAGGCTGATCACATATTGAGGTTTTCTTAGATATCCTATTGAGAAGAGCATCAGCAGAGACAAAGGAGTCTTCAGGAGATGTCTGAAGGGCAAGGAGGATATAGAATAAGCAACAGAGATTTTGCTCAAGTAGTTCAGGCCAAAAGCAACATACCTGTCTGCAAATCACAGAATCATAGAAAGGCCTGGGCTGGAAGCGACCTTAAAGACCATTTAGTTCCAACCCCCCCAGCACAGGCAGGGACGCCTTCCACTAGACCAGGTTGCTCAAAGCACCGTCCAACCTGGCCTTGAACACTTCCAGGGATGGGGCATCCACAACTTCTCTGGGCAACCTGTTCCCGTGCCTCACCACCCTCATCGTGGAGAATTTCTTCCTTACATCTAATCTAAATCTACCCTCTTTCAGTTTAAAGCCATTACCCCTTGCCTTTGATTCCTAGTAATTTCATGCCTAGTAATTTCATGAAGATTACATTTGAATACATGATTCATAGGTGTAACAGACAAACCTCAAGAACAATTCTTCCTAATTTAAAAGCTGAGTAAATTTTCCAACACTAACAGGAAGTAAGCAATATTAGGACCTCTAAAGCAATGGCTCTCAAACCATGGACGACAGTCCACTCTCAATACTTCTACAATAGTTTTCAAACAGTTACCATAGGTTTTGTTCATATAATAGCTTATGTTCAGTTCAGGATCCCTAAGGAAGTCCAAAAGACCACCAAAACTGAGGGGAACCTCAGCAAGACTCTTTTTGCCGTCTTTACAAAGGCTTTTGCTGCTTACTGGGGATAAACTAAGTTACGTTCACAATTACAACATGATCAGGATTAATACACAGTATGAGGGTGGACAGAATTAGAATGACAAAAACAAGGCCTCTGGGATTTGAGGACCCAAGACTCCCTGCAGTGAGAAAAGTATTCAAGCTCATAAAAAATGTTTTCTGAGATGGTATCAACAGTATCATTAATACTAATTAAGCATAGTATTAAAGTGAGCTGCTTCTTATTTTGACTCCTCAGTAAATATACTGTCATATAGCTTAGCATGCCTAATGCTGTAGGCATTTGTGAAACAAGTTTGCCTGGAAAAGTGGAGGCCTTGAGAGAACCTTCATGAATTTGAGAACCAGTGCTCTAAAGTCTGTATGCAGCGCAGGTTGGAAGCAAGGAAGGGTTCAGCACTAATTCCAATCCAACCCAAAGAAGGCACTAAAAAAGTGATTTATCTGGAAGCTGGAATGAGCTCTAATGATCAAAAAAGTGAATTTTATATCATCAGTATCAGATGAGAATGACACAGTTAACAGTTTATAGAAAAATGTGAAAGGGCACCTGTTCTTTACCAACAAAATTTTGAAATTTCACAGCACATGCAACAGAACAAATCACATCTCTATGTTTATATAAACCCCCTTATTTTATATATAAAATATTTCTTTAAATATTGGGTTAAAGCACAGTCTAAAAAGGCCTGTGTGACAAAAAAAGCACTCAAAGCTCCAATTTGGAATAAGTTATCACAAGAACACGTTAAGCTACGGTAAGAATTCAGAAAATTCTTCTGAATTCCAACAGTTCCATCAACCCACATCCCTCATTTGGGTCCTACCACATGCTGCTACCAAGATCTTTAAGTATCAGGTTGAGTTTCACTCTATTTGAGATCCACCTTTGCTACCTATGCCATGAGAAATTTCTGCAAGAAAATGATTCCCAAACTCTTATCATAAATTACTTACTATTTCAATAGCCTCTGGAGTTGTTCCTAGGGTCATGGGCTCTAGGTCTTTCTGCTTTGACTTGTCAGGTGACTGTAAGTGTGCCTCTTGGCTGGCAGCTAGGACTCGGGAAGCTGGATGTTGTATTTTCATTCCAGAGGATTGCTGGACTTCAGGGTCTTCAAAACTTGACCTGGAAAAAGATTGTGTACATTCTTTCAGGGTGGAGCACAAGGCTCTTAGAATTCTGCCTCTGGTAACAGCTAAGGAAGTCCTCTTCATTATTTTCCATACATACACACACACACACACATTGTTTCAACTCAACTTTATATCATTATATCTCATAACACTTTGCAATATCCTTTCAAAGCAATGCAGCAGAGTCATCCAAATAAAGCCGGTTCTATCAAAAATGTTATGCATATTCCTTAAATATTTCTTACTTGCCTTTTTAACCCCTTTCTCATTCTGACCTACATCTCTCCCAACAAACAACTTTTACTAACAAGAACAGATGTCCCTAACAAGCAAAATTTTTGGAAGTAAATAAAACCCCCATATCCTGTTCTTATGAACTAGACTCCTTGTCAGAAAATATATCTAGGAAAGATCAAGTGAAAAGTTGCAATTAGGATATTTCTAGATTGACATGAAAATGACCTCAGTATCTGAGAAAAAAACTGTAAGTAGGAAGTCACAGTCTAGTGGAACAGTTGCCACTGTGACTATTTAGTAAGACTATGAAGGAGAAATATATGTTCTTACTCCTTCCCATTATGAAACTTCTGTATCTTTGCCCTCTCTTCTCTACCATATGCATACACAGATGGGAATCTATTTTTAAACAAACAACTCGGCAACACAGAGACAGAGAGAGCAAGAATTGCCTGTGTATGTGCTATGAAGGTAACCCATTTCCCTGACATCCTTTTCCGTTGCTGAATTTGCTTGCAGTGACATACCCTGAGCATGGTGTTGTGGAATCAGACAGTCTGATGGGAGGTGATTTGACTGGGCTCTCATGCTGTGCATCAAACATTAGGTATAAAGATTGTTTCTTCGGGGTGCTATCATCCTGCTGGCAACAGGAAAAGAAAGACTTGTTAAGCAACTCAACCATTCTCCATTAAAGCTAATTCACGTCACCAAGTTTTAAGTGACCAAATGACTTGACAGACGACTAATAACACAGGACTGTAATATAGTCCATGCTGATACTGAGATGATCCCTTTAAGGAAGAAACCATTAAAGAACAAAACCTAAACTGTTCACTCTTTGTAATGGCTCTTCTTCTTCCACTTCAGGGTTAATCAGATTTCTGGTCCTGTCAGGCAGCAGGCATCCCTTGACTGAAAGTGTTACTAAAATATCCATCGAAACCAATGTTAGTCTCATCAGTTTAAGCACCTGACATACACGCTTGATTTTTCTAACTTCCCCTGTGGATATACCCCCATTGGATCTAGTCACGCTATCAAATCCATGAATTACATAGAAGTAAGGCAAAACAACTGATACTGTATAGTACTGCATTCCATATTTCACATTCATTCTGTATTCTCTTCTGATTCCCTCAATCTTCTTAAAAGTTTCACTCTCAGTTTCTTAAAATAGTTCAATAGTTGATGTAGACAGCTTTGTACTCTACACTGCTGGAATACTGATTTGCTTTTAACGTCCAGAAAGAACTACTATAATGCTAGCTTTAAAAAAAAAAAAAAAAAAAAAAAAAAAAAGGAACGAGCTCTACCAGATATAGGAAAACAAAGCACATGCAATTTACCCCAGTTATGCCAATTTAAAGGAACTGGTTTTGCAAATCTGCTGCAGGTACATTATAATTAATTGAAGGGGTGGTGAGGCTGATGGCATTATCAGGATAGTATATTATGACAAGGGAGTGCAAATGAATGGAAACAGAAGTGAGAACTTACAGGCACAGAGGAGCCTATTTTCTCCATATATTCTATTTCATATGAGTTGCCATATTCCAATTCTGCAACAGAAACAAAAAAGAGCCATTAAATACATGCCATGAAATGCTTTTTTGCATAAACAAATGAGATTCCTTCTCATTTACAAGGGCCACTCCCATTCTGCTCAATACTTTTCTATGAGGTATTAATACAATATACAGAGAGAAAGCAGAAGGTGCACTGACTTTCAACACTGAACCTATGCCACATTTCAGGCAAATTTGTTTGCCTGAAAAATTTCAGCTTGATCAATTTGCTGAAGATTCTGCCCCAGGGGCCAGAATATTAACAAAGTTTCAGAGCGCTTTCAGAGCACAGATAACTTTCCTCTATCACGTTATCTTATCACAGAAAACACATTTTTCACTCATTGGTAATGCTGATACCAGTTTCCTTTAACATATGCAAAAAGATTTTAAAAGCTGTTGAGAAATGAAGTAATTTCTATTTCTTAATATTTATCACACAGTTCTTCATTAAGAAGGACAACTGTGGTATCACTTAAGATCAAAAGATACATAAAATACCTATGTATGCTTATTGAACAAGGGGTGACACAACAGCCCAGCTTACTGGGCTGTTTTCACATTTTAGTTACAGAGGAAAAGCCCGAGGCGGGAAGATTTATGAAGAACCCTAAATCTAAACCCTAATCAAAATGCAAATCTTTACTGCTTCTCTACCTCTAATCTCCTAATTACACTGGAGGGAATAACCAGTATTTCTTTCCAATCCATGGTCACCCAGTAGTGAGCTGATAGAGGCAGGCAGATAAAACACAGCAAATTGGAGAAGAGAGCATACCTTCCTGCACCCAAATAAAAGCAAAGACTTTGTTCAATGACACCTTAACTTAAAAATAAAAAACATCATTAATGTGTCCTAATGCTGTATTTTACTCTGTTTCCATGAGTTAATTCAATATACCACTTGTATAATTTCATTTCCATTATAGGTAAGTTCTAACAAATTTCACACTAGCATTTACATTATGATAAAAATATGTGCTAAAATTCTTCCAGATTTGGGCAGCTTTTGAAAAGTAGGGCTTGTATCAGGAAGACTGTAACCATCATTAAAACATTTGTTCTTTAAAAATAAACCAACCCTAAAGATAATATCTTACCTATTTTGTTACAAAAAAAAGTTTCAAAGGGTGCAATGTGAGTTTACAATGCTCAAAATTTTTTTATAATAAAAAACACCGTAGAGTATAAGCACTGTAATTCCACAAGTCTATGCATTTTGTCAGACAACCACTGAAGAGGAACAGCCACAAACTCTCAGTACCTGACATGTGGGAGATATTAACAGTAAAATATCTGAATGAAGAGAATGCTCTAATAGCAGGCTCCTCACATTTAAATTCCTAGCAGCATATGTTTTAATGGCAATGGGGAGCCAGGCAAGATGGACAACCTCCTGGTATCAGATACAAGCTTCTTCCTAGTGAAAGCAGAAACAAAACTGCAACGATGTGATTCAAACCACCTCCTGGATGCAGCATTGCAGGAAAAAGCACGAAATACCAGATAACAGCACGCAGTGTTTAGTAACTGCCTTTCTCCATTTCATTTATCTACACACAGCCCAGGGAGGTGCAGCACGAATGCCTACGGGCAGCTTTACGACCCCATAAGCAATCCGTGAGTGAGCGTACAAGCACGCTGACGGGCAGGAGACGCACCGGCACTGTCCTCTGCTGGCACAGCCGGCACTGATCTTCCGCCTGCCTTGCAGGGCTGGTAGCGGCTTTGACATTGCAATCCAAACTGACTTTTGGGACAACGCGAATTTAACTTTACTGATTTAAAAAAGGCAGAACGCAGATGGAAATACTGCAACTAGAAACAAAAGGCGTAACGTGGCTCGCTGAACGCAGTTTGTTTCCTCTCATTGCTCTCAGAAGTTTCCAGCATAATTAGACACTATCTCCTCTCCTAGGTATCTCCTCTAAGGCATCATCTCCCCTCCAAAATCTTAGGCTCTGGTTATGCCTATACATTCAAAATTACAGGATATCCCACAAAGTAAGGTAATTATCTTTTATAAATACATACAACAGACTTACTAAGTGATGTCCTCCAACTCCTCCTACAAATAGCTGCAAGATTACATCAGAATTTTCTGCTAATAATTACTGCTTATTTCTGGTCTGTGCAACACGAAAATGGCAGCAGTTATAAGCAGCGCACGCAACAGACGAGAGCTGGATGTATTGGCTGACTCAGTAGTTGGGCTGTATCCATACAAAAGCAGTGTTAGGTTACAGGATAACACTCATACTAGCATCTGGGAGGGGTAAAAATATTTGCACTGAGAAACAGCCTTGGAATTACTCAAAAATTTCTCAATGCCACAGGAGCAAGACTGTCAAGGGAAAAAAATCATTATTTTTAAGAGATCTGAAAAGCGGAAGCATTGTTGATTATAATTAGCATGTAATCTGAAACTCTGACTATACCATGCAGCACACATGAGACAAGACAATTAGCATCTAATTAGGAGCTTTGCTCACTTTCTTCTACCCGCTTTGATAGCTAAGATGATTGCCTTACAGTATCTCTCACTATTCTTTTGTTCCATTTCCTTCCGTATAATTTCCATTTTCCCAGATTTGGGGGCTTATTTTCTAAAAACTACTTCTTTAATTTTTTTTTTTTTCCATACAAATGAAGTGAAGCCGATGTCTAAAATTTATAACTTGACAATAAAGTCAACTTGATTTATCCAGACTGAAATACTTATCTGAATGAAAGACTCAACAGATTTCCAAAAAGCCCAGACCACGCAAATATATAAGCATGTGCATATGAACATGTGCAGTCCCGTTAAAACCACTGTGATTATTCATGCCTTTTAATGTCAAACATATTTGACCTAAAATCTTTGCAGTTCTTATTAGGGAAAAACTTCCCAGACCCAGTCTAAAATGGCATAAAGTAGCTTTAATGGTAGATCAGGACACGGGTTGAAATGTTAGGGGGAAAAAAAAAATTCTGATCAATAAGAAAAAGTTTAAGCCAAATTAAACTCATACATTCTTCCCATCCACAAAGCTGAAAATCTGCCCTTGGAGCAGATGTTGCAAAGCAGTATTCCCTCTGGTAACCCCAAGGAAGGCCACACACAAATTTTCTAAATTTTGTGTCTTCCACAGTTCACAGACCTGGAATGACAGTTCTCTTAAAACAAACTTCCAGCTTTAGCTCACAACTGCTTAAAGGTATGACAGGAAAAATCTTAATAAGCTTATCTAGAAGGAAATTTTATCTAGCACGTGAATGGTAACTATCTTAGGCAGGGAATATCTCGGACATTTGTATGCATAAAGATACCTGGATCCTAGGAACCTGGAGGAGAGGTGGCATGTTAAGGGCCTGAATGCAACACACAAACTTTGAGCAGAATTTTAAGCTAGGACCTTCTCTCATTCAGGTTAGAGGAACAGGCTCAGGCAAAATCCGTAGTTCAGTGACGATGGATCCAAGAGCACTAACCGAGAGCGGTATCAGACCCCAGTCTCCCGTGAAGACACAAAGAGAACAGGCAGCACGCACAGAAGAACAGAGCATGTCTACAATTAACCATACAAAGGAAGCAAAAGCCTTTCTCTGAAGTCCCCTTTCATTTTCCTTTAAGCTTCCTCTCTACTCTTGAAAACTCAAGGTGGGACTATGGGGGTCACACATTCAGCTCCCCGTAATTGCCAAGTTCCCCAGACTGGCCCAAAGAGCATCGTTTTTTAGGGTTCCTAAATAATACAGTTACATTCAGCAAAGTATATGCCAATATCCTCGAACGAACCAAACCCCCTCTCTCAATGAATATAATGTTAGCTGGATGCAGACAGCCCTTTATAAAGCATACCCTCTGTAGGAGAGCTGAATTTAGTCTCGTTAACAAATGTAGACAGATCAGACGGTTGTGGGTAATCCTGTTTATCCGTGTTCAGGTCCACAGTCATGCAGGTCCATTTCTGACTGGTCACCGAAGACGCCAGTTTCTCCTCATCTGTCGCATGAATCACCGTGGATATGACGGGCGGTGTTTCTGGAGTGGGCAGTGGAGTGGGATCCTGCAGAAAACAAGCGCCAATTAATTCTATTATCGTTCATTAACACGTTGAATAGTCAACTCCCTAAATTCCTCTGCACAACCACAGTCATCTTTTTCATTCCATACTCTTTAGTGCAGCTCTGTAGAAAAATCTTAATAAAAATATTAAAAGGACTTCATTTAGAGCTCTACTAGCAGAAAGTTTTCCCCGTATAACTGAACTCTTTGATGATAAACACTCGCATTGCAAAGCTGCCTTGATAACAAGGAAGAAAGAAAATCCAGAGCCATTTAAATCTGTTAGGCACTTGACATAAGTGGCACACATCACCCATGACTGAAGTCTTTGACTTCCAAAACTGACTTTTTAGGCTTCCCTCATGGGAGCAAGCCTTCATAGGTCTGCGAGGTCATGAACCCTTTCTTCACTTCCAGGCTGTCAAGCAGCATAAATAAAAGGGTAGGATGGATAACAGGAAGACGAACAGCAGCATGGAAGGAGCTGTGCCACATCAAAGCACTCAGGCCTTTGTAGGCAGAACAGCTTTTGTTAACTTATCTTCCAAGAAAACCACCTGCCGGCAGTTTACAGCAAGGAATAAAACCATCCAAGCACATGTTCCTGGTAGATCAGCCCACTTGTTTTATCTCTATTTCCCTTCCAGCCCACCAGTTTGATGCATTTAGTTTCTTACTTTCTAATCTAAAAATTCCAGTGTGGGTAGTTACGTCTAGTTTTTCAGACAACTGATTGAAGATATGTATTCATATTGTTGCTCCATTGTAACACAGGACTTTCCAAAGTGCATGCACTAATAGTCTAACTGGAATTCCCAGAGCAAATACTAGATCTAATATACTTTGTATACACGCTTCTAGAGACCCAAAGTTTAATACCTTATGATTATAGCTCAGTGTGCTATACCTGAACACCAATATGCTTATATTCTGTGCAAAAACCTCTTGTATTATTAAATGTACAATTCTACAATTAAATAAACGAAATTTCCCTTTCCTGCCCCTACAAGAACACAAATTACATGCATCACAGTAAGGCAGTACTTTACCTGAGAAGGAGGATCAGAGAGTGGGGATCTTTTTGGCGATTTTTTCACCCTAAATGTATCACTGAAAATAAAGTTAACACAGTTAATATGGCAATACCAGCAAGAATCGCATCATTTCACACTTAGCAAGAGACAGCCACAGACAATGCAACCTCTGTAAGCCCTTCTGCTTGAAAATCCCATCCATTAGGCAGCAGCACCACAGACAAACATGCCATAGGTACGTATTCTTGTCATGCACTTGGAACAGGCCTCAATTCCCCAAAAGCTGAGAAAAGCAGGATTGCCATATTTTTCATGCCAACTACCGACACATTTACAGAATGGAGCTGCTGCTTGATTGCAATTCAAATCCCTGCTCCATCACAGACATCCTCGGTGGCCTCAAGCAAATTACTTAGCTTCTCTCTGCTTCAGTTTCCCATCTGAGAATTAGGTCTGAACCACATCTTTAAACGAGAATTAAAACTGTGATAAACTTGGGCAGTAAGCTCCAATGACCCCATAAAACATGAAGAAAAAACCCGGTATGCTTTGGATGAAGGACATAAAAACAGCTGAGGCAGATGCTGTTCCCAAGATGCCAGAACAAAGCTCTATCGTTAGAAATGTGCACCACGGACCCCCTCCCTCTTTAAAACAAATTCAACAGCAAATATGGCAATTCTGCTTCCAGTTCCCCTGACAGCTCACAGTGCAGACTGGGAGCACGGACACTGTAGCCCTTCAAAATCCCATAGGTTTCAACCAGGCAAAAGGAACGAAGAATAAACATTATGTCTTGGTGTATAATTATGAATGTTGCCTTTATGTTTCTTCACAATCGGTTAAAAATATTTTCTAACAAGGAAATAAACCAATTATCCACCTGTTCTCTTGGTGCATATTGCCAGAGCTATTCAAACACATTTTTGCTGTTAACTAGGAGAAAAATAGCAAACCAAACTCGCCAATAATGACTTAATGTTTGAACTGAGAGGCAGTAGCAAAAATTCCTGCCCACCAGCTCATCCCTGATCAATGAATGGCCAGATCAACACTAGAAATTATACTGGTGGGTTTCAATCGGTAGAGGGGAAAATCAATACCACATCTAGAGGGGAAAATAAATTGGACAGCTGAATATCAGTGTGTTCAATGCTACTAATTATCTAGATATGATGCTAGAAGTAATTAGGATAACTTATTCCTTTAAGAAGGAGAAACACTTTATGCAGTATTTATAAAAAACTGATTGTAAAATATTGTACCATGGTAGAAATCAAATGTTTGTATTTTAGCTCAAGGACACAAAATCTATATAGTTTTTAAAAGAGGATCTTCTCTGATAGGCAACAGATAGTGAGGCAATAGATTTCTCAAACTCATTCACAGCAAGGCATCTTACTTAAAATAGCTTTCATATATGCCAGTGAAGTGAATTAGTTAACACAAAAGCTTCATGCTGAATAATAACTGATCATGCTGCAAAATAAATGAGTAAAATTAAAAAGCCCATAAATCAAAGAGGAAATTTGAATTGTTAGCTTAGAATTACTTACAACAGAGAACATACAGACATCACATCTTCTACCATCCTAAGACAAATAAGACAAAGAAGAGAGACAGACAGAAGGAACTGACAAAAAAGATAAACCTACAAATACTCTAATGTTAATGTGTTAAGGCAATCAGATCATGCATATGTTCTACCTGTATAATCTTAACACCTACTTTTTATTGAGAAATACATGGGGAGAAAAAAAAATTCAAGTCCTTTAATGTTTTCAAATTCAATGTTATACTTCCGACATGCTTTCATCTTACAAAACACATTTTTCAAAGCTGAGGCCTCCAAGTTAAGTTCTATCAACATACTAAGCGTCCTTGCCTTCCCTGATGGTAGCCCCTGCTTTCTTTTAAAACACAGTATTTGTTATTATACGGGATATAAAACTGTTCTTGAATGGCAGCTAAGCTTAAGGGAAGAGCACAGTTACGCAAGGTTTTTTCATGCCTGCTGTTTTGTTAACGACAGTACAGAAAAAGCTACTTGACCATTTGTAAAACGGTTCTTGAATGGCAGCTAAGCTTAAGGAAAGAGCACAGTTACGCAAGGTTTTTTCATGCCTGTTGTTTTGTTAACGACAGTACAGAAAAAGCTACTTGACCATTTCAAATCATTTACCTAAGTCAAGAAAGAAAACGACATTTCTTCAAATCTCATCTATTTTGGCTCTTACTGAAACCTAACTTCGTGTTCCCATAGAACAAATTGATTCCCCCCAAACCAGAAGCAAACCTTGCCAAACAATTAAGGCTAAGAAAAGTTTTCATCTACTTGTAAGCTTGGCAGCTTCTGCCGGGCTCTTCTCACGTGCAATGCTCTTGACAGCTGGCACCTTGCGTTTCTAAACACAGCCCCCAGTCACCGAACAGTTTCGAGAGCAATGCCTACAGAAGCCATCTATTTTTATTCATCGCTGTAAGCAGGCACTCGGGAGGCATCAACTGCTCTTTGTTCACTATCATCTGAGCAAGACGATCTATCTCAAAACAGCTCAGCACTTAGGAATACGACCGGAGAGTAATTTGCGTGGAGCCAACACCTCTTCTAAAAGTCTCACCTCTTCACATGGAGGTCAACGCTTAGACTGCTGCAGGTTTCATTCCAGAATAAAACCTGATTATTTTTATTGATTTAACCCAGGTAAGACCTAGCATATGGCACAAATCCAAAGCAGTACAGGCTTAGCAATGGCTTAAACTCATGCCTCTGGCTTCTTCAGCTCCCGCAGGTCTAATCTAGAAATTGCTGTCTTTCTGTATAAGGAACACATTTTCAAACTGGTCCATGCAGCTGTATTTCTGCACCCCTCAACAGCGCTAATAAAAACACCTGGCTTCGCAAAATTATCCATTATTTTGGATATATGAGTCCTGGCATATTACAGTATCATTTCCTAATTCCAACACCCTCCTTTCTACCCCTTGCAGCTGAAGCATCTTGCACTGGCTTCTCTCTCCCGTCCCATCAAGAGAGCAGCACCAAGAAGGGTCCTACACCCCATCTCCCTGCCTGGCCAGGGGTTCTCCTGCACCGGACCCCACGGAGGAGTCATGCCGAGGGCCCTTTTTGTGGAGAGGAGAGACCAGAGACAGGCAGAGACAAACAGAGCCACTGCTTCCCCTGGCATCCCCCAACAAGCCCTAGGCTAATTTTCTTCTAGAAAGTATTATGGCTCCAGGCTGCACTGGGTATTAATACGCAGATTCTCTTCTTTGTTAGAAACCGCTAGCAAAAGTAGGTTACGGGGCTGCAGCGAACAGACACGTAACACAAGGCAGTGAAAGCAGTCCCAGGCAAGGGCTGGGAATTCCTGCAAACCTCCTGACCTAAGAACCTGGAAACCCGGCTCTAGGGTAGTTTCACTTCTTCCACCACGATAACGCAGCAGTGAACTTTGTGACTGTAGGACAGGGCGGTCCCGTGATGGCTTTTCCCACAGATGGATGTGGTTTAGCAAACTCTTTGTAAACTCATGTTACCCCTAAATTAACAACTTTGGAATGGATTTTAATATTCACAGCAGATGGGTGGACCCAAGAGGTTTATACTGGGCGTCTGTCAACTCCACTGCAGCTACTGGAAGACAAAGGAGACTCTGGCTGGCTGCAAGTATCAGACTTAAGGATCCGGTGATATTAAAATTCCCCTCTCTCCCTCTGCAATTCCCCAGTAAGATTCAAATTGTTCCTCTCTCGCAGTCAGATTTTTAAGTCTTCTTCTTTTGGATAAAACCAGTTTGGACTGTAGGCTTGGAAAATGCGTCAGCTTAGCATGCATCTTAACTCTCACCTTAACTTCCCCAAAATTTCAGGCATACCTCAAAAAGAAGCAATATCAGAACAACTCACACCCAACTCAACTATACAGTGGTATGTAATCTTCTAAGTCAGAAATGCCCCTAAAATGAAAAAAAATAGCACAGGCTTCCTCAAATCTGGCAAGGGATGTGAATTAGATGTCTAGAGGGTAGCAGGCTGCTCAGAAAAAACTGAACGATCTCCACCTCGCTCCACAAAGGGGGTAATTTTTTGTACTGCTTTCCATCAACCATGTTATCTTCAAATTGTCAGGCTTTTGTAACTTTAAGTCACGTTTTTGTTAGTTAGCTGAAACATTTAAACCATAAAGGGACAGGCAGTGAGATACTTACAGATACACAGAGGATATCAGTTTCAGATAAACGGGATATAAACTTACTGATTACCAACTCAAAATAACCATGTCTGAATGGGGAAGATAACACGCACACCAGCAAGTTAACCATGGAATCAATGCAACCAGCCACTGAAATCATTAACCAAATATCTAAATACAACAAGCTAGAGAATTTATCCTGCTATTTGTCAACTGTGTCTCAAGGCTGGACATTTCCCTAACACGTAGCAGTCTAGGAGATTTTAACCCTTGTGCAGACCTGTAAGCTCCTTCACAGAAAGAAAATTCTTCACGTTTTTTAGTCTTGCATTTAAAAAGATAGATTTCAATACTGCACTCTTCTGTTTCAGGTTTTTTTCTTCTAAATACTGTAAGTCACTAGATAAAACCATCTTCCTGCTGTGTGCAATAGGAGATTTATCACTGCCTTACTATTTCGTGTCCCACTCTCAAAACTGGTGATTCACAAAATAGTTTTTACTGGTGTGAGTATTTCGATCAGCTTAAACAGCATCAAACTCCCAAGATGAGATCACAGAAAATGGCAAAATATTGATAAAATTTGGACTTGATCAGATTCAAAGCTACACTCAGCCCCAAAACTTCAAAAATCCAGTTGCCAGTCCAGTGGCCTAATCTGGCTTGATTTAGCCTTGGTTCTCCCTTTCAGCCTGGGAACACCAAGCAATTGAGGAAACAGGTTGAGGGAGAGCACGTACACACCCCCGGCACGAGTCCCGTTGTGTGGCTACCAACACTCGACAGCATCTTCCTTTCTCTATTCAAATATAAACCGGGTGTAACTGTGCTAAGGGGTAGGAATGTGCTTCTTCTAATCTAGAAACTTCTGTGCCCTTTAACTTACGTTTTTAGTGGCGTCTTCTTCTTTTTTGCAGGTTTATTCAAGTTGTCTCCTTCAGGTCCGTTTGTTTCATTGGCACTGGCTGGTATCTCAAAGGAAGCTGGAGATTTAGAGGGTGAGCTGGCTATCTTAGAAGAAGACTTGAAAGGGTCAATAGAGTCCTCACACATGTCTGGCTCAAAACTGTATGTTTGTTGAGGCAGTTTGGGCGATTCTTGCATTTTTGTACTAGACGAGAACGGGTTAAAATTGGGATCATCCCACTTGTCAATATCAAAAGTGTAAGAGCCTTTTGTGATAGGGATTTCGTTTGGATCAGTGGGTGACTTGGTCGGTGTGGTTGGAACATTGTCAAGCTTTTCCACTGACTTTTTAGTCTTTGGCCTCCGTAGTGGCATTTTAGCACCAGGCTTTTTACCTGCTTTTTTGGGAGGAGGAGTACTCTCCTGCTGGTCTTCACTCACCCCTTTTTCTTCAGAATAATCAAACTCCAGCCTCACCGCAATGCCTTTGACCGGAGGGTCGTCTTGTCCTCCAGTGTCAGGCGGAGTCACCTCCACAGCCTCTGGTGCCGTTGTAAGAGGTAGTGTTTTCTTATTGGCAGGGGGAGAGTTCTGTACTTTGCTGCCTCCAGTGCTAAATGCACAAATCCCTTCAAAACTGTCTGGATCCAAAGGGTAGGATCCTTCAGGCACAGGCGGGGCCTCCTGTTTCTCAGCAGAGATTTTAGAAGGTTCAGTACATTCGGGCTTTACCGAGTCAGCCTTTGCTTCAGATACTGCTTTATCCTCACCTGGGGCACAAGCTGCTTGGCCAAGGTCCGATGGTTCTTGGGGTGTTTCCTTCACCAGTGGAGCATCCAGAGATTTTTTTGCTGACTGCTTCTTTTTTACGGAAGCTGGTCTGGATTTCTTTGTTCTCTTAAGGGTACTAGAAGCACTGCTTGAACCAGTACCGTACACATCTGCTGCCGGTGCTAATGTCTCACTATTGCCAAGATAAGATGCTCCATCAAAATCACTTGCTTGCAAGCTAAGAGATCGAGACAATGTAGATTTGGAAACTGGGACTGAATCAGTAGATTTTCTTCGAACATTCGCTTTGGGATCACGATTCTTCGATTCTGGAGAGCTCGGTCCTAAGGCATGGAGAGAATCAACCAACTCAATGTTATCGAAGTCCAAGTTGTAAGTTCCACTGCTGGCTATTGGCTTGTCCTCATCGAAGACGGTGGAAAAAGAATGGGAAGGGGGACGGAAAGGGCTTTCTTCAACTGATTCACTGTGTGACACATCAGTTACGGGTACCGTTTCTGAACATAATCCTGTGGGAAAAACCAGAAAACTGTGAGTTTTAAACACATTTTTGAAACTGGAGCTCAATACACTTTACTACAATCTAATATTGCTACAAGTAAAAAAAAAAAAAAAAAGGGTTAAAATCATACAAATGGACTAAGCAATGACTAAAGGACATACAAATCAAAGTGACATTTCCAATATATGAACTAGATTAGGGGAAAAAAATAGTTCTCTTCTCCCCAGAAAAGGATTCAAGGCAAGTTTCATGAAAACACAAAATATGCAATAGCCTCTAGAGCATCCTAAACTAATTCTCACTTAGTTAAAGAGATGGATATTACCATAACATGCTAACTATGCCAAATAGCAGAAAAACTGAACATCGAGCACTTTATTACTCCGGTTTTCTACTGTTATAAAGAGTTCACAGAATTGTGTCAGAGGTCTTATGCAGTAAATTCCCTGTAAATTGACTGGTGCTTCAGCAATTACATGTTGATCTTAAGTTTTGTTTCCCATGTGCTATTTTTACCAGTTTCCCAGAGGAACATGGCTTCCTTTCCACAACCCATCAATGCTGCCCCTCTTTCTGCCCCAAGCAGTCAATACACTCCACTTTGACCTTGTAAATCCAAGTTTATAATGAGTCATGAATCACTGAGAATTTCATATGAAATAAATTATGGTAAAGGTAAGAAACTTAGTCAATTAGAGTACTGTACAAATATTCTCAGTTGAAAATCTTCTTTAAAACAGACCGCTAGAAATTCCCTACAAATTATTTAAGAGATTTCTCAAAGCGTAGTTCTAACTCATCGATGAAAACAAAATTTATAGAGAGAATTATATGCTAAGACTGCTAGACTGAGCAGCTTTTCACTGTAATTAAAGATTTGATTATCTAATTGAATCTAAATGAAATCCAAAAAGATTTCTAGAGGTCTCTTGACTTGGGATATAACAACTACATTGGACAAAGTAGAAAAATATACAGTGCATATAAAAAAAAATAGAAAATACATAGGTAGGAAAGGATTAAGATGATGGTCCTTTTTGCCTTGCAGTTCATCAAAGTTCATTACGAAAATGTTTTACAAATTCTGAACACGGTTTGTTCCTGCTGTCATTGTACTGCTCCCTATCTGAATGTAACAGAGTCACCGCTGCCTACGCGTGTGTGTCCCAGTCAGGGCATCGGAGACCGGGGAAATCCCTCGCCAGCTCACAGCTCAAGCTGGGGTAAACCAGCTGCCCTGAGCTCTCGCTGATATGCACTGGAGCAAAACGCCCCAGTGTTTCCTATTGAAACAACGCAGCATTCTTCATCTTGTCATTTTTTTTTTAAATTACGCAATTATAAAGAAAAACAGTCAAACAAAATGAACGCTTTGCTCATCCTTAAATGATTTCAGAGACATTTCTACACATCTTTTTCATTCCAATCCTGACATGTTTTGCAAAATAATTCCCATTTTGCCCAGCTACATTCATTAGTGTTGTTCATAAAAGAAATACAGACAATCAATAATTACTTTTAGTCAGAAGCTATGAATGGATTAAGAACAGAAAAAAATATTTTTCCTTTGTTTCAGAGGAAATTATGTGTCTACATAGAGATTACAAGAATTATTATTTATGGCTGTGGAGGACAGAAAGGATTTAAGGAAATTGGACACATTTCCCAAAGCAGGACCTTAGAGCGGCATCGCATATTTCCAGAGACTGTCAAAGGAGTGACAGCTACACAGTCTCTCTTTTAACACTGTGGAAATTTACTAAGTTCCATCAATTAAAATAGTATTTTAATGTGTTTTTCTACTAAGTCAATGCTAATAACATGGCAGTACTTCAGGACAGTTTATTTTTCTCCTTCATCTCCACTGGGCTGGGCTTGGTTTCAGCCTGGCTGAGAGGTCATTAATTAGACCTGATTTGCCAGCTGAGCTGGTGCTCACTTCACACACACATCACTTTCTGACACTGATGAGACTTCTGTTAAGGGGACTCAAAGAGTGCCATAAAACTCCAGCATTAGACTCATCTGTACCTTTTACACGGCAACGGGAATGGAAGACACTTAGTGGGAATACATTACAATAAACACTGGCGTAGCTCTAGTATGTCAGCAGAGTACCAATGTAGGTCAGCGTGAAATAAAAGGGGGATCTGAACAAGAAATCATCTGCAATTATGCGTCGTTTTCATGCCAGCATGCGCCAAAGGCCTCAACAGGATTGAGGCCCCTTGTTCAAAGTCAGTACAAACATGCATTTAAACAAAATAAAATAAACTAAACCAATGCCCTCCAGGACCCAGACTGTAAATAACAGGCACAGCAGAGCTGAGGTTAGGGATGCATCACAGCGGCAAAGGCTTTCCAGCTACTCAAAGCAAAACAGCTTTCAAATTTGGCGTGCTCCACATAGTGCAGAGCTTTAATCTTCTGTAATTGCTTATTTCACAACTTCCTCCTAATCAAATCCTTTACTTATAGATTTCTGCAGAGTGTCGCTCAACTCGCTACTGCGGTATTTTTATTGTTTCTTTATGAAACAAGCTGTGGAACTGTCTCCGAAAACATGGCTTTTGGTAGAAGCGAAACGCTGCTGTTGGACTCTTGTGGCATTGCAACAGAATTGGCTCAGTACTAGTGACAGCGGAAATGCGGGAGAGGAAGACACGAACGGTACTGACTATGGAAAACAGCACGGCTTTATTACTACGAAGAGATACGAAGACCATTCCTTCCTGACATTAACAGCCTATTCAGAGGCAGTGCCATTTGTCCTTTCACATCGCAGAATTAAGCAAATCAGTATTACTAAATACAGTATTTTATTAAAATGCAATTTGATTGCAAAGGCACATACTACAACACAAGCTACAGAAATTAAGGCAGGACTTGCTCTAGAGAGAGGCCAGCACAAGGATTTAAATAAGGTTTACGCCTTTTATTGGCGCTGACAGTCACCCACAATTTAGACTGGTAAGGACTGCCCACAGGTAGATATTAAGTTTTATAAAGCATTCCAAGAACATGAGCGATAGCAGGGAAACCTTCCTTGCCACAAAGAACAGACAATCTCCCCAAACCCCTTCCCATTTCATTCATTAAAAAAGAAGGTCCAAGTTCTGCTCCTTCCACAAGGAAATTTCTCTGATTTCAGAGAAATTTTGCCTGGATCAGGTATGAAAAAAAAAAACCAACAATCCCAAAACCAAAACCAACAACAAAAAACCCCAACTTGTTGTACCCAGGTGATGAGACCTCTAAATGAGAGTTCCATGACATGTTCAGTGCTTGGCATTTTCACCTGTCACCTACTATGGCAGAAGCAAAAGTTGCTAGAAAGGTGTTATAAGACTGCCTACATTAATAAACAAAATAAGTTTCTGTTGTTACAACAGAAAGGGATAAAAAAAAAAAAAAACCCACACTTCTAGCCAACTACAGAAATCTTTTTTTGTACATTACAAAACACTTCAGATGCTAGTAAAGCTTCAATGTCCCCCAAGAACAGCAAGGTAGACACATATCTCACTTAACTCAGCCTTCTTTAAATAAAGGTCCATGAATGGTCTGGACAGTAACAAATCCCATGCATGTGCTCTGAACTGTCCACCGCTGAGGACGTAAAATTTTTACTACATTGCTACCACTGCTTTATATTGACTATCAAAAGGATAGGAGGCATTTGTAGGTTTAGAGCAAGACTGGTGCTAGGATTTACATCTGACGGCCTATTTATTCACAGCCTTAGGAAAGAAATGCGGAAACTCAGCGGCAGTAGTTGCACAAGGAGCTACAGAAGTGGCCAAAGCAAGGGCAGACTTATTTCATTTTGCTGCAGTACCCCTGTTCTCCTCCTCACTTGCGGGGCAGGCAGCCCCTACCACAGCGCAGGTACCGCGCTTTCCTGGGATGTGTTCACAAAAAGAAACATTTCCAAAAACTTTGGAACTTCAAATTTGTTTTAAAGCTATGTTAAAGAAGAAAATGGAATATCTGCACCAGCTGTGAGCCTATTGAATCTAAATCTGAACTGTTTCTTTATGAATAATTAAAATATATTAAGGAGTTAGAACACAGAAAGTACTTCTAGGTATTTTTAAATATTTTTCCCTTTAAATTACAACAAATTCTTCTAGAGGGGGACCTGCACTGTGCACTAGGACAGCTGAGCCTTTTTTCTTTGTTGACGTATCTCTAAAATAGCGGGAAACCCAACAAGCCTGAAAATAGAAGGCCTTAACACTGCTGAGCTGGAAACAAATGAAACACTATTTTGAAAGGCTTAGAAACGAAACTTAACCAGTTCTAATAAAGCAAATACGGAAGAAATTAAATTCTAGTTGTGTTTTCTAGAGAAAAAACAAAGAGAAACCCTTGGAAAATACATACAGCATGTACCCACATACTCCATTATAATGAAATAACTCAGGAGACAAGTACACTTCACCTACAGCATATAGGAATTGGAATTACCTTACCAGAAATTCTGAAACACAGTTTATTTCAAGTTCCTGCTTGTTATGAGAAGCCTTTGAAGTTATGAAATCAGTTAGTAACGCTATTTTAAAAATTACTGTTAAAATACTTTTTCCATTTATTCTGACAGAAAACTTTGGATATAAAGTTTATTTTCAATTTTTCTGTGTTAGGCTTCAAGAGGAGAAACACTGAAGAAGAATGTTTTCTACCCCAAAAATTCAGTTCTTTTTTGTCTGTGTCATCATCTCTCTACTGGAAAGGCTGACTTCAATTCCCCTGACACAAGAAGGACCTGAATATAGGTTTCCCATATCCTGATCAATGGGCTGTAATGCATAGAGGGGACTCCAGCTCTTACATGTCCCCTGTGTCTGTAATCTGAATTCATTAATTAGTTGGGGAAGGTGGCAGGGGGACAGAAGAAATGCCCCTGCCTAGGCAGGAGTTCTTGCCAGAAGCAGGATGTACTTGGGAGAAAGGGCTTGGGCACTTTCTGGTGCTCAGTTGGCTGGAACAAGGGACAAGAGGACACTGCTATGAGAAGCTGATGAGACAGGCAACAATAATTGAAAATACTATCAAAATAATAAAAAATAAATAAACAAAAAGCACCCTCAAAGTCATTTGCCTCGTGAGTATAACCCACAGTCCCCACAACAAGCAAAGTATTTACAGAGGACTGGAAGGGCTCATTAGTGACACTTTCTGGGGTTCAGAGGTAGTTTCCATACGTGCTGTCACTCCTCTGCCCCTCCAGACTCGCCTGCAGACTGACTCCCCCTTTCTGCTCCGCTGCTGATGGACCAGAGCCATGCAGCAGGTTTTACCCCACCAGGAGCTGGCACAAACCCAGGACAAGTCTAGCTATATTTCACTTTCATCATATTTATTAAGCTAGCGTTGAAGTCAACCTAATTAAAAACTCTCCTCTTGGCTTTCCAGCAGTGGGGTCCAGCTGTTGCGCTAATGCTATCACGCAGCATAACTGCAACCGTCTGCTTAAGTAATTATTGTCAGATATAGATGAAATAATCTTTTAAAAAACTTACTATGCTTCCTCCTTCCACCCAAGCACACGCTCCATCACCAAGCTCATGTGGAAGACAAAGCCATGCAGCTGGTGAAGCAGAAACCCAGCTGGACATCGCTGCCTCTCCCTGTGTGCGTGCCAGGCTCTCCGCTTGCCTGTACTCCTTACTCCTCTTTTATTGAAACCTGTTTATTTAGCTGTATGGTACCAATGAGGACTTTAACTGCCCATAACCCCCAAGGAAGGGACTCATTCTCTTTGTCTGCACCCATGTGCATAACCTATGAGGTAAGTAAACTACAAGATAACTGTTACTCAAATAGTTTATAAAGTACAAAATGTTTAACTGTTCGCTTTTCTGAAGAAGCACGCAAACACCTAAGCTATGGTCCTAGTATTATTAATTTCTTCTAAAGATTTCCAGAACAAAGGAATGCTTTGTGTTGCCCTCCTACTTGAATTTTTTCTGCATTACACATCTTCCTTCCCTCACAGAAATTACCCTGTTGTATAACTTCATTTTGCATAATTTTGGAATGCTGTACATAGCTCTGTTGGTTTGTGGTAACTTGCCTCCCATGGACAAATCTTATTTGCAAATGAAATGTTTTTATCTCTGCCATCCAATGGCCTTCAATATAGTTCACACTGGCTGTGAATGGATATATTCAGTTTCCTAGCTTTCTTCAGAAATATCTGAAAAAAAGGAGGGGAAGATCTGGGATGTAGGGAGGAAAGAATCACATGTGCCAGGGAAGCACATGTGTAATCAAGGGTTTGAAGATCATCTACTGCGGTAATTAAAAACACACTCCAATCCTGTTTAGCATATGTGTTCTTTTGTTCTCTGAGCACTTGTTTTGTAACCATTAGATTACAAAAGATTAGAAAAAGGAAAGAAGATGGACAACGAGTAATGTTGTTTGCTACAATGAAGAGGGAACTGTAACAGCAGAAAAGAAAAAGCGTCAGGATGTCTCAGTGTTTCATTTTTATTTTGTGGAATCAGTTTATTGAACGTCTTTCTAGCTTCTTATAAACTCGTATAATAAATCATGATCTTAAAGAGCATTCCTTAATGCATAACTCCCAGAAATGCGTTAGGTGGCTCAAGACGTTTGCAAGACTTACCTGTCACTTTCCTGAAGGTTTAAATCAAAACTGGACAGCCTTTATAGTACACACACCAGCCACGGGCAGCGCTTTGCCCACTGCTAAACACAGCCACTTCTACAGTGGAAATGGAAGCTTTAGAACACTGTCTGGCAATGCTGTACATCTTTCCAAATGAAATACAAGCGACCTTTAGTCTGCTTAGAGTAAAATTACCTTTATACAAGTTAGCCAGGTGATCAAGATGACTTGACTTTCAGATGGGAAAGACGACAGCATAATGGGGAATTCAATCTTAAACTGCTGAGCTGTCATCTGACAGCCCAAACAATGCTATTTTGGGCTAATAGAGTGCTTTCTACTCCCTCATATTCCATTACTCAATTTGGAGAACAAAGAACACATTTTCTGTGGAAAGGGTTTCTTTGGTTTTTTAAACAGAATATTCCCTTTTTAAAGGTTACTTTGCCAGTATATACCAATTTTTATGTATGTATATTATACATACATTCACACATACTCCCATGTTCCTCCTATACTGTACCACAGAGTAATACTGTACCACAGAGCTAATAAAAATATTTCTGTTGTTCTATGAGCTTTATGTTTACATTCTGTTTCAGCTGATAATATATTTGAAAATAACATTTAGTGAACTGTCACTATTAATGGTACTCACCCAGGTACCTGCATCTGTATCTCATACTTCATTTTTTTTACTCATCTGACTCTGTAAAAATCCTACAATTCTGAGAGGAGGGAATGAAGTTTGATTCAAAAGGAAGAAACTTTTTTCCAGAAAACTCCTCTTTTCTTTATTATTTGTCAAATGTTATAAACAGTTTCTCTAATACTTTATTCCAGGAGGTGACAGGGTTTTTCCTCTCAGCATGGATAAGGCCCCGCTTACACTAACTAATCTTCCAGGAAACATTTTATTAGCACCAATTCCTTGCCCGTGTTAACACACACACCTCCCTGCAGCTTCACCTTCCTCAGTACCTTGTCCCACACGTTACACACTCATTACCTGTGTCTTCCAAGGGCAGCTGGGGTTTTAGTTCTTGTTCTGCTATGTCTGCTACAACTGCTGCTGCTGCCGCCGCTTCGGGGGGGGGCTGCGGAGGTGAAGGTGGTGCCTTTACCGGTGTAGTGGACTCCGGGGTCTCAAATGCTTCTTCAGAGTCAGAGCTCCTGGTGAAAATCAAACGAGAGAGACTAGTGAGCAGAGTGAAGATTCATGTTTGCAGGTCATACTTGGAAATGCAGGGCTTTCTGAACTGATGGCATAGACCTCATCTGTCAGGCTACCTCTGCATTTCCCAAAGGAGATTTTACATTGCAGTATGGTTTCCAGAGCAAGTACTTATGTCACTTAAGACTTCTTTGTGTTACAAAAGTGAACACACATTTGGAAATAAATCCGTCCTGCAAAGCCTGCTTTCCAGTGTGAAGGTGGCTCAACCACACAGACTACACCACTGACACCCCGTCTTAGTTTCTAAAACTCTCCTTGGCACAAGTGTACCTAAATCAACAAAAAAAAAGGATCTTATCAAGAGATGTCATAGCTTCATCAAAAAACCCATCTGAAATAGCATGAAATTTCTGTGTGTGCTCCTACAGGTGAGAAAGCAGACATGGAGATACCTGCGGTGCAGCAAACCCTTGTGCATCCTGCTCCCATGGAAATACTAAATTCTATTTTTAGCAGAATTTTACTGTAGCCCTTTTCAAACAGTAAGTGTATGGTTTTGTTACACAAGGTAAGACAATCTGTAAAATGAACAGAGTCCTGGTATTATCAATAATCCTTTTCTCGCACTGTACTCACACAGACACAAAAGCCCAGCAAGAAAACAGCAGCACCCAAAATGGAGCCAATCAAATGAAGCACAAGCTTGAAAGGCAGCAACTGTACAAAATCATGGGTAACTTCAACATTAAGTGAAGATCTAAACCACACAAGGATGCACAATCTGCTCTTATAGCAGTACAGCCTCAGGAAGCTGTCAAGTCAGTATTTCCTGTCCCTCTGTACACCAAAATTAGCTCTCACCTAGGCCACAGAAAGCTCCTACCCTTCGGTGCCATCCTGCTCTGTTACTGCTCCTCCACTGGTGTCTGTACTTTCAGGCTGTGAAAAACCAAAGCCAGACTGAGCTCATGGACGAGAAAGCCATGTCCCAGACCAGGAAAGGCCACAAGACCATGTGTGTGGTGCTCAGCCACAGGAACCTGCACACCGTGCGGGCTGTATGGAGCACTGGTGACATCAAGGCAAGGAGAATAGATTTAGACTGGACATAAGGAAGAAATATTTTACAGTGAGGGCGGTGAGGCACTGGAAGGGGTTGCCCAGAGAGGCGGTGGAGGCCCCATCCCCAGAACCATCCCAGGCCAGGCTGGACGGGGCTCTGAGCACCCTGGGCTGGTTAAAGCTGTCCCTGCTCACTGCAGGGGCTGGGCTGGGGGGGCTCTGAAGGGCCCTTCCAACCCAAGGCATTCTATCATTCTAGATCTAAAAACTACAGATTTTATTTGTTCTTAAACCAAACTGAGACCAAATTTTGGCTTTTAAACATTTCTTCTTGAAGCCTTTATTTGGGAGTAGAGAACACAGTAACAGTGCGTGTCATATTCAACATGCACTGAACATATGTTCAATATACGTTCAATAAGCATTTCTGTTGGTCAGATGCAGATTTTTACTGCTGGTCTGTAATAAAGTGAATTGAATATGACAGTTTCTTAAAACACAGGACTGATTTGCCTATTCCCAGCAATTCTTTGCATGGCTGCGGTCTCCACCGCTCCTCAAGGCTGTCCGCACCCCGCACGCCAGTGCAACGGAGACAAAATTTGCCATGAAATGAAAAGCCATTTCAACCCCCAGAAGCACTCTACAAGCTGTCCTGAATCAAAGACTCTTCTCATTTTGTTCAAGTTAAAAGATAACTCTGAGCTGCCAGATTCTGTCTGGTTTCTCAAAGCTCATAATTATTTTAAGCAGCTCGATGTCAGGAGAAGTACAAGATTTGCATTTGATTACATTTGCCTAAATCTATCGCAGCATGAAGCCTTCGGCGAGCTGGGGAAGAAAAGACCCCGATGTCACCCCTGACAGCTTGAGGAGCAGAGCGGACCCGATTCTCCCCGGCTGTCTCTGCAGAATCCCAATGAGAGCTCCCACCTCCTCGCACGCCGTCAGGGCGCACGCCACGGCCCGGCACCAACCCGCCTGCCTTGTCTGATCGCCTCTGCTCCTGTGAAAGCAAAAGGATTTCTCCTAGCTAATAGCTTTGGATGGTTGCATTACTCAGGGATTTTTGGAGATCTTTTTTCTCCCCAAACTTGTGTCACTGCCTGGGGAACTGCTCAAAAATAGCATGCCTGGCTTCTGATTGTATCTGTTGCTGCAGCTCCTCAAAATACCTTTTTTGTGTCATTGCTTAAACCATATTCATTCACCAGGCCACAGAACAGACAAATCGGAAAAGGTAGGCTGCAGCATTTTAAATTATATCCCTTCAAAGATGCACCATGTTTTAAGTTCAAAATATTTTAAGCTTAAGAACAGCTGCAAACAAAGAGCTTCTGTAAATAAAGTTGCACAATAGGTATTCAAGAAAGTAACGCTTTCTCTTCTTTCCACAGAGTGGTTCAGGAAACTTTTAAGTTGAAGAATCAAAGAGAAAGAGTTGTGTGATATTTTCCCAGTAGAGAAATGTTTCTTGTGTCATAAAAATAAACCTAGAAAGTTATAATCTAAACCAACAAAATGAAAGGTAATTCCTATCTCTCAGGCTTTCACATAGTTCTGCATTGCACTGTATTTAATTAATGCTTTACTCTCTTCATTTCGAACCCAAAGTGTTGCTCTGCTCTGAAACAACAACAGTTGCACATGTTTAGACCTCTTTTTTCCAAACGCTCTGTATAGCGCAGGTAACATACGCAGTAAATCTATAGACATATGTAATATAACTGAAACTGTAAAAAGTCTCTGTTTTCATGTCCTACTCATATTTGTAACTGCTTTGTTAAAACTGGCTTGATGGCGCAGTTCTGCGTCCTCCTTTACTGAAATGACTGACAGACTCTGTGCACGTTTATCTCCCTTTTAAATGAGCTACCTGTGTTTACTTGGTCTCTTCCTTGGATGAGGTGGGCAAAAGCATGCTGCAGTAAAGAGAAATGTCTGTCCTTTTTTGTTCACTGTATGAGCTACCACACTGGAGACTCCCGAGTCTGTGGACAGTCAGTTGTGGTGCCTGAGCTCCAGCACAAGGCTTTGTTTTGCTGATATTTAACAATCCCCAAAAGATCTTGAGGCAATACTCCTAATTTTCAGCTGCACCCCTCCATAAGCAGCAGTGTAATCAAGTAAGAACTGTCTTAACCATAATCCAAATGCTGCTGTTTGTTATGAAAAGCAATCGTGCTGGCAAAATACCGTGTTTAACAAAGAAGTATGAAGGGAAGCTGAATACCAGAAAAACGTTCTTTGTCATAGCCTGGGATCTGTGAGAGAGCATATAGCCTGGAAGCACATACCAGGGCTACGCTCCGAGGTCTACATTACATATATCCGGGAAAAATTAGATCCTGTGTTCAGCTTTCCTTAGTGAAAATACGGATGGTCTCTCTTGCATAGGGTATTTTTAAGACTGTAGTTCTACTTTCAAACTGTAAGAAAAGATTTTCCCAGAACAACAGGATTTCCTGTGGAAAGGAAATGACATATTTCAGCCAGTTCTATTCATATTGTCTTTTCTCTGAGAAATACATGGAATACACAGAAAGAAAATAATGCTGCCGTGAAGTTCATGGTGTAAAACAGATTGCCAAATCGTGATATGCCGTGAGAATCTGCACCAATTCAAAGCTGTGCAAGGAGCAGCCGCCACGGATCCAGCTGTGGGCACGCTCTCACGAAAGGAAGAGCCCTTGTATCACCTCCAAGATTATTCTGAAACTCCAGCCAAGGATGAAGCATGGTGAGATGGGACGCGTGGGTTTTAGAGATGGAGAACTCATCTGCTGGCCCCAGCTCATAACGTTGTGGAGATGGGGTGTGCAAGTGCAGAGTCTAAGTCTGCAGGACTAGATTGTGGGGCAGCGATGAAGTAAAAGCTACAGGAAGGAACATACATTCACGCGTCCTTTTAGCCAGCTTGGGAAATCAGTGGGACCTTGCCTTGATAGCATGTGTCAGGTATTTCCATCTGTATCCTTTGGGTTTTGTACATAACTGGCAAAAAAGTACAGACTGTAGAAGCTACAAAATGATTAGATGATAGTAACAGAATACAAAATGACCAGAAATATTCTTCTAGTCCATCCTTTTCACCTCCCTTCTTGACAGATACCAGTAAACAGTAAATGTAGTGCTTAGAGAATGGGGGAGAGAGATGGGGGAAACAGAAATGCAAGAATCATACAAGACCAACAGAACTCCAGCAACACCACATCGACTTGTGGAGCAGGAGCACTCCCACGCTCATCTGGAAACTTTGAGGTCTTGCCCAGCCTGTTACATAAATCTCCGGAGGAAATACTGAAGGGAGTCACCAGGGTTGACTTTTCTTCACCTTTGGCCTTGCAGAAATCCAGCCTCATAAGCTGCATTACCTTTTTTTGTAAACCACAGATGCTTATAATTTTAAGTCCTCCTCTGTTTCAGAATGAAATGTTGCCTTTTTGTCACTGTAGCTGGAAAGCACTCAGTAAGTAGAGAATGAGATTTCTTCGTTCCACTGCCTCTCCTCACTGTTTGCCCTCTTCAGGCACGACCGCCGCTGAAGTGAGGTCATCCTAGTTGTCACTTGGAAACTCAATTCATTAAAAAGTAGTTTGCAACTGAGCTGTGGCCTGCAGCCACATCGGGAACCCTGCCCTCTGTCTCAGGTTCTTCTAATATTTACAGTGCAGCAGGACCACCAGTGTTTTATTTCACAGGAATGAAAGGGATGCCTGATATATAAAAGAAACTTAAAAGCAGGGCTTTGACACAAGGACTGAGGTCAGCAGCATCACTTCCTTTGGAGGGGCACAAGGGAGCAAATCTGGAACCAGTATGTGCCGAGGGAGCTCCATGGACTTTTGTAGAGTTACTTCACTGAAAATCAAATCTATATAGAATTTTTATTTAGCATATAGCCTGTTTCAGGAAAAAAAACCCCATGCCTAAC